AGTTGTGCGCCAGTGAAACTGATTGACCATCGTCATCAGACCCATGCTTTTCACAGCGCAGACATTGGGGATTCACAGATTTGGAATACAGAGTCCGCTATCCGTATCTCAGTGCGTGGTGTGCCCTTGCGGAATCCTAGGTTTTCCAAGTTCTTTGGTCGACTTCCGGCGTTGGGGTTGACTAGCGGTAACACTCATGCTGCTCGTGGCAGTGCGCGAGTTGGACCCAGTATCGCTGCAGACCTCGCCAGGCTTTGTCCGGGTGTGAGTGTCAAAAAAAACCATGTGCAGGCAGCTGGGGTTGACTTACACTTGGGGCGGAGACCCAGTAAGGTCCGAAACCTGCTGGATGCTGCTGCAGAACAGCTGCGCAAACGTCAGCACAGGCCCGTGATCCTGTGCTTCGGATGTTCTGTGCCTTGTTCATGGCATCAGGCATCAGTACTTGACCACTGTCTCACCCAAGATGCTTTTTCTGAGGTCGAACCTGCCATGGGACCACCATTAAATACCGATGAACTACCCCTAGCAGCCGTAGCAGTCCAGCAAGAAAATGTGCAGTGACTCAGGCTTGGGCAGCCTTGCCAGACACCCACACAACTGCGGGAACATGTTGGTTTAGATTGTAGCGGATCGCTACAAGGTAACACAAAAAGGAGCTCCTGGGGTAAGAAGAAACAAGATCAGGTTTGCAAACAACGATGCCCGCCAAATTGCAGCAGGTAGCATGGCCTCCCCAGTTTCCTTCTTGCCCATAGGCCTCGCGTGTCGTGCAGCGAAAGCTCTTCTGCTCCTGCTTCCGACTTGGAGGCGAGAGCTGGGGAGAATGATGTTAGTTGCTGTTAGTCCTCTTTGGCAAGTGGGTACCAACTGACTCCGTCACCTCACTGTCCCGTCTGTTCCTGCCAGTCGACCGTGGATCTTCCAGATCTGGTTGCTGACTGCTGCAACGGCGAGGACGATGCCTTTCACAAGAGCTGGTAGATGCACGCATGTGCATGCTGTGATGTCCAGATAGCAGGAACTTGTCCAGCTGTCGCAGACATCGCGGCGGCTACGCAAGCAGCTCTTTTCCGAAGAGGACGCCGATGCAGCAGCGCTTGCTATGGCACACCAGGACAGTGTTGAACAAGCGCCTGCAAGCATTCCAAAGAGGCGCTGCTATGCCGGGCGTCGCAGCTTTGTCACAGCCGGAGCTGGCTTCGGTTGGGAGCCGAGTTTCACTGGAAGGGATGTGTGTCGGACGGACGGATGCGGAGCTAGGCGGGATGCGGCATTTGGCCAAAGTGCGGTGCCCAATCTGTCACAACTTTTGTTTGAAGGATCTGATATAGCTTTGTCAATTCTGCTGGAGGTGCTGGATGGGCCTATGCGATCCACCTAGCGCATGCCAGGCCGCTTCTTGCACGCTGCTGCCAAGAGCGGTGAGAGTCGAAACTGAGCCACGATGCCGATACTGGTGACTGGTGACTGGGGCTGAAGGAGATGGGACTCCAGTTGTCGACACGGTGTGTATCGGCATTGGCGTGCCAACTGCCGTCAACCGCCCTTCTGTGGAGTGATGTTTCTTCCCTCCGCTGTTTTAACTCACCGGTCAGCCCCGCGGAATCCGATGCGGAGGCAGCGCACAAGACGTGACTGATGATCCGGGGGTCAGAAATTGGCGTGGTAAGGCGTGTTCAACAGGAACTTCGAGCGCACATAGAGTCTTACGAGTATGAATGTGTTCACTTGTGCACGTGTGCATACATACGCAGTCTCGCACATGTCCTCAATAATTGACGTCCACCATCTCGCACCCACCCCGCTGCAACAATAAGCGGCCGGAAGTTGACCAACTAAACTGGCCAAACTGGGCCGGCCTGGTCTCTGTGGTTCGGCTTGATTGCCACGGCTTTACCGGCGTGTGACAAGCGTCCCAGCAGGTGGAGATTTTTGCTCTGCACTCTTCTTTGTTTTGTGTGGTCGCGCAGTCGAGCATGTTCGGTTGTGATGCTCCCAACATCTTGTACTGCCCTCATATCAGATCTTGTCGAAACATATGAGGCAAGAGGAGGCGGCTTATGTTCATGTATGTATCGTGCATGGCCGTGATGCTGTGCAACTGTGACGGCAGGTCTTCTATCAGGGACCGGCTTGCGGTGCTGCCCTGAGACCTCAACCTTGCCGCGCTTCTGCTTGTAGGACGAATAGAACATAGAGTCGCCATAGCAAGCAAGCAAGCAAGCAAGCGCAGCTCCGCAGGTGTGCCGGACAGATGGGAAGGTTGCGCTTGTAGATCCAGAGACGGGAGGCCGGAAGAACCAGCCACGAGCTCGAACGCAGGGAGGGGAGGCAGAGGGCGATCCAGGGATCGCAACGTCTCGGGTGTATGAATTGTATACTGCAGCAGAGCCTGTCACGGAGACGATGGAACTGTTAAGATGTAATCCAGCCGAGGGCCACAGTGCTCAAGGTCAATCCATACTTTGGTCTTTGCTGGTGACCCGTCAATGGAATGCCCCCAAAGTCGCATAGCAAGTCAACAGACGGTCCTTCATGAACCGTCTTGCTTCCGGGATCTAGCCGTACGCACGGGCAAGCCAGGTGGACACAACACAACGGCCACGAGGGGACGGTGAAGCGAATAATTGACAAAGCTTCATGTCAGCATCCCCTGCGAGAACAGAAATGTAGCAATTGTCCCAGTTGCAGAGCGCACCAACCATCCCGACAGACCAGCAGCTTCTGCCCGTTCCTGGTCATGGCGCGCCACCCAGCAACAGCGCAGAGACTCTGGAAGATTACGGAAGATAGCCACGGGATCCCATGGGCCGTGAATAGCCCAAGGATGCCATGAGGCTAGGGCTAGGGCCACTATTGCTCAAAGCGCCAGAGATGTCGACTTCGCCAGAGGTGTCGACTTCACGCTGTGCTGGGGCCCTCGCAGTGAGTTCGTGGCGTGCCGTCCTGAAAAGAAAGTTCCACGATTGGACTACACGTTGATGCCCGATGGATTTGAAGCAGCGTCAGTCAGCTCTTTGTGCTCGCTCAGGTTCACAGCCATGAACAAGGCCTCGGGGGCTGCGCAGCGGTCTTGGATCCTTCATTCCATGAGTCACAGTAGTTTCCGAACCTCCTGTTCAGGTTAATCGTGATGCCGACACTGCAGCGAAGTCAACCCCTGGTGCCTCACCATTCAGCTGCCACAACGAAAGGCAAAGCAGCAAAGCAGTCTGCGCGGCCAGGTCATACCCCTCATCCCCTTCCTGACGCCGTATTACCTGTGTCGTCCCCGGCAGGCTTTAGCTCTTCTCGGACCTGTTGCAGTTGCGGCAAGAAGTCATGCTTTCAAGGGACTGTGACACGTGGCTCATGTTGTTGGAGTCAAACATTGGTGTCATACTCTCATGGGGCCTGGGGTCAGGGAAGCGCTGGCCACACAGGCTAGCATATTTCGTTTCGATCGTTCTGAACTGCTGCAAACCTGTTGGCTCACCATTCGCTGCAAAGATTGCCTTCTTCAGTTGACGGTGTAGCTGCGCCACGATGGCCATGCGGGCTCGGGGGCTTCTGCCCTGCGCGCTAGTGGTCGTGGCCTTCGTACTGTTGGGCTCGACAGTGGCTCGAAGCTTTGTCTCTGCACCTGCGAGCAACAGGAAGACCAGGACGCTGCGCGCTCTGCCGCAGCCCGGCCAGCAGACCGAGGAGAAGAAGGAAACACAAGATGGTGGTTTCAAGATGCCTAAGCCGGACATGCGCCTCATGAACCAGCAGTCCAAGGCTGGACTGTCGGTCGACCAGGACCGCCGTGGGAACATGTGGTCCCTCGAGCCCGAGACCAGGTTCGCGGAGGACACTGACGAGATGCTGCCTGCAGCCATCTACTTCCCTGTCATCATTGCCCTGACCATTGGCAGCATCTTCTTCTTCGCAAAGTTGACCAACGATGATCCCCGCTTCGGAGGCTCCTTTGGTGACGACGCGCGCCTGATCAATGAGTGGGGCTAAGGCATTTCAAACCATAGAAGCCTGTACAGCACGGCTTCAGTCTTTTGACCGGTGTACATTTTCGCTGACCATGCAGCCCTTTTCGATAGATTCCGTTTGAAGACTCTCCGAGAAGAAAGCGAGCACAGGCGCTCACTGCTAGTGTTTGGTTCTCGCCGCCTGCAAGACAGGTTTGCACTCTTTCACAGATGCGTGCCTGAATTTCTGCAAACCCGTTGGCTCACCATTCGCTGCAAAGATTGCCTTCTTCAGTTGACGGTGTAGCTGCGCCACGATGGCCATGCGGGCTCGGGGGCTTCTGCCCTGCGCGCTAGTGGTCGTGGCCTTCGTACTGTTGGGCTCGACAGTGGCTCGAAGCTTTGTCTCTGCACCTGCGAGCAACAGGAAGACCAGGACGCTGCGCGCTCTGCCGCAGCCCGGCCAGCAGACCGAGGAGAAGAAGGAAACACAAGATGGTGGTTTCAAGATGCCTAAGCCGGACATGCGCCTCATGAACCAGCAGTCCAAGGCTGGACTGTCGGTCGACCAGGACCGCCGTGGGAACATGTGGTCCCTCGAGCCCGAGACCAGGTTCGCGGAGGACACCGACGAGATGCTGCCTGCAGCCATCTACTTCCCTGTCATCATTGCCCTGACCATTGGCAGCATCTTCTTCTTCGCCAAGCTGACCAACGATGATCCCCGCTTCGGAGGCTCCTTTGGTGACGACGCGCGCCTGATCAATGAGTGGGGCTAAGGCATTTCAAACCATAGAAGCCTGTACAGCACGGCTTCAGTCTTTGCACCGGTGTACATTTTCGCTGACCATGCAGCCCTTTTCGATAGATTCCGTTTGAAGACTCTCCGAGAAGAAAGCGAGCACAGGCGCTCACTGCTAGTGTTTGGTTCTCGCCGCCTGCAAGACAGGTTTGCACTCTTTCACAGATGCGTGCCTGAATTTCTGCAAACCCGTTGGCTCACCATTCGCTGCAAAGATTGCCTTCTTCAGTTGACGGTGTAGCTGCGCCACGATGGCCATGCGGGCTCGGGGGCTTCTGCCCTGCGCGCTAGTGGTCGTGGCCTTCGTACTGTTGGGCTCGACAGTGGCTCGAAGCTTTGTCTCTGCACCTGCGAGCAACAGGAAGACCAGGACGCTGCGCGCTCTGCCGCAGCCCGGCCAGCAGACCGAGGAGAAGAAGGAAACACAAGATGGTGGTTTCAAGATGCCTAAGCCGGACATGCGCCTCATGAACCAGCAGTCCAAGGCTGGACTGTCGGTCGACCAGGACCGCCGTGGGAACATGTGGTCCCTCGAGCCCGAGACCAGGTTCGCGGAGGACACCGACGAGATGCTGCCTGCAGCCATCTACTTCCCTGTCATCATTGCCCTGACCATTGGCAGCATCTTCTTCTTCGCCAAGCTGACCAACGATGATCCCCGCTTCGGAGGCTCCTTTGGTGACGACGCGCGCCTGATCAATGAGTGGGGCTAAGGCATTTCAAACCATAGAAGCCTGTACAGCACGGCTTCAGTCTTTTCACCGGTGTACATTTTCGCTGACCATGCAGCCCTTTTCGATAGATTCCGTTTGAAGACTCTCCGAGAAGAAAGCGAGCACAGGCGCTCACTGCTAGTGTTTGGTTCTCGCCGCCCGCAAGACAGGTTTGCACTCTTTCACAGATGCGTGGCTGAATTTCTGCAAACCCGTTGGCTCACCATTCGCTGCAAAGATTGCCTTCTTCAGTTGACGGTGTAGCTGCGCCACGATGGCCATGCGGGCTCGGGGGCTTCTGCCCTGCGCGCTAGTGGTCGTGGCCTTCGTACTGTTGGGCTCGACAGTGGCTCGAAGCTTTGTCTCTGCACCTGCGAGCAACAGGAAGACCAGGACGCTGCGCGCTCTGCCGCAGCCCGGCCAGCAGACCGAGGAGAAGAAGGAAACACAAGATGGTGGTTTCAAGATGCCTAAGCCGGACATGCGCCTCATGAACCAGCAGTCCAAGGCTGGACTGTCGGTCGACCAGGACCGCCGTGGGAACATGTGGTCCCTCGAGCCCGAGACCAGGTTCGCGGAGGACACCGACGAGATGCTGCCTGCAGCCATCTACTTCCCTGTCATCATTGCCCTGACCATTGGCAGCATCTTCTTCTTCGCCAAGCTGACCAACGATGATCCCCGCTTCGGAGGCTCCTTTGGTGACGACGCGCGCCTGATCAATGAGTGGGGCTAAGGCATTTCAAAGCATAGAAGCCTGTACAGCACGGCTTCAGTCTTTTCACCGGTGTACATTTTCGCTGACCATGCAGCCCTTTTCGATAGATTCCGTTTGAAGACTCTCCGAGAAGAAAGCGAGCACAGGCGCTCACTGCTAGTGTTTGGTTCTCGCCGCCCGCAAGACAGGTTTGCACTCTTTCACAGATGCGTGGCTGAATTTCTGCAAACCCGTTGGCTCACCATTCGCTGTAAAGATTGCCTTCTTCAGTTGACGGTGTAGCTGCGCCACGATGGCCATGCGGGCTCGGGGGCTTCTGCCCTGCGCGCTAGTGGTCGTGGCCTTCGTACTGTTGGGCTCGACAGTGGCTCGAAGCTTTGTCTCTGCACCTGCGAGCAACAGGAAGACCAGGACGCTGCGCGCTCTGCCGCAGCCCGGCCAGCAGACCGAGGAGAAGAAGGAAACACAAGATGGTGGTTTCAAGATGCCTAAGCCGGACATGCGCCTCATGAACCAGCAGTCCAAGGCTGGACTGTCGGTCGACCAGGACCGCCGTGGGAACATGTGGTCCCTCGAGCCCGAGACCAGGTTCGCGGAGGACACCGACGAGATGCTGCCTGCAGCCATCTACTTCCCTGTCATCATTGCCCTGACCATTGGCAGCATCTTCTTCTTCGCCAAGCTGACCAACGATGATCCCCGCTTCGGAGGCTCCTTTGGTGACGACGCGCGCCTGATCAATGAGTGGGGCTAATCGCGGACTGCGTGCGTTTCGACGGTGCTTCGCCTGACGCCTAGCATCAGTTTTCTCAACACACCACTCCGCTACATTCACAAGATGTCTCATTCTTCGTTTGGAAGATCAAAGTATTTCAGCTAATTACAATTCGAGTGATATCGTCTCCGTTGCTGCTACCGGCGTCTTTTGAATGCAGATTTCAATCCAATACCCTTTTCTGCCTGCTACAGAGGCATGGCACAGCGTTTTCACAGTCATGGAGCTTCAATTTCAGCTTTGCTGACATGAAAAGCAACTGAACTCGCTTGGGCCCAGGTGCTGTTAAAAGCTTGTTTGACACTTAACGGCCTTATAGTGTTGCTGATATGTAGCAGGCTGCAATGCTATTCGAGAGCACATGCTTTGATGCTCGTACCGCAGCCGTTACTTCTGGGCAGCTGGGATGCAACCACGGTCTCGTGGTGCGGAGAAGGGCCATATGCCGGCACGGGTTCGGGGGCTTCTGCCCTGCGCGCTAGTGGTCGTGGCCTTCGTACTGTTGGGCTCGACAGTGGCTCGAAGCTTTGTCTCTGCACCTGCGAGCAACAGGAAGACCAGGACGCTGCGCGCTCTCCCGCAGCCCGGCCAGCAGACCGAGGAGAAGAAGGAAGCACAAGATGGTGGTTTCAAGATGCCTAAGCCGGACATGCGCCTCATGAACCAGCAGTCCAAGGCTGGACTGTCGGTCGACCAGGACCGCCGTGGGAACATGTGGTCCCTCGAGCCCGAGACCAGGTTCGCGGAGGACACCGACGAGATGCTGCCTGCAGCCATCTACTTCCCTGTCATCATTGCCCTGACCATTGGCAGCATCTTCTTCTTCGCAAAGTTGACCAACGATGATCCCCGCTTCGGAGGCTCCTTTGGTGACGACGCCCGCCTGATCAATGAGTGGGGCTAATCGCGGACTGCATGTGTTTCGACGGTGCTTCGCCTGACGCCTAGCATCAGTTTTCTCAACAGACACCACTCCGCTACATTCAGAAGAAGGCTCAGTCTTCATTTGGAAGAGCAAAGTATTTCAGCTAATTACAATTCGAGTGATATCGTCTCCGTTGCTGCTACCGGCGTCTTTTGAATGCAGATTTCAATCCAATACCCTTTTCTGCCTGCTACAGAGGCATGGCACAGCGTTTTCACAGTCATGGAGCTTCAATTTCAGCTTTGCTGACATGAAAAACAACTGAACTCGCTTGGGCCCAGGTGCTGTTAAAAGCTTGTTTGACACTTAACGGCCTTAGAGTGTTGCTGATATTTAGCAGGCGCTATTCGAGAGCACATGCTTTGATGCTCGTACCGCAGCCGTTACTTCTGGGCAGCTGGGATGCTACCACGGTCTCGTGGTGCGGAGAAGGGCCACATGCCGGCACGGGTTCGGGGGCTTCTGCCCTGCGCGCTAGTGGTCGTGGCCTTCGTACTGTTGGGCTCGACAGTGGCTCGAAGCTTTGTCTCTGCACCTGCGAGCAACAGGAAGACCAGGACGCTGCGCGCTCTGCCGCAGCCCGGCCAGCAGACCGAGGAGAAGAAGGAAACACAAGATGGTGGTTTCAAGATGCCTAAGCCGGACATGCGCCTCATGAACCAGCAGTCCAAGGCTGGACTGTCGGTCGACCAGGACCGCCGTGGGAACATGTGGTCCCTCGAGCCCGAGACCAGGTTCGCGGAGGACACCGACGAGATGCTGCCTGCAGCCATCTACTTCCCTGTCATCATTGCCCTGACCATTGGCAGCATCTTCTTCTTCGCCAAGCTGACCAACGATGATCCCCGCTTCGGAGGCTCCTTTGGTGACGACGCGCGCCTGATCAATGAGTGGGGCTAAGGCATTTCAAAGCATAGAAGCCTGTACAGCACGGCTTCAGTCTTTTCACCGGTGTACATTTTCGCTGACCATGCAGCCCTTTTCGATGGATTCCGTTTGAAGACTCTCCGAGAAGAAAGCGAGCACAGGCGCTCACTGCTAGTGTTCGGTTCCAGCAGCCTGTAAGATGACGGTGTCCTAGACAAGGGAAGTTCAAGGCTTAGTGCCTGGGGTTTTGGGTTTAGCTTAGGTTCAAGGGCTTAGGGGGAGGGATACGCGGCCTACGAGACCCCTCCACGTGGGTGGCCGCGGGCCTCTTTACACTTTTCGGGGTGTGGAGAGGTGCCAAGCAACTCCAGATCCTTTTCTCGTTAATTAGGAGAGGCTTGTGGCATCGTCTGGTGATCGCCGAGTTGGGTTCTTCGGCGACATGGCTGGTCGATTCTACACGATGATCTTTAATCTCCTGCTGACCTCATTCAGCGGGACTCGGAAGGCATATGTGCTGCGCTTCATGGTGATGCTTGGGTTCAGCATCTTGGCATTGAGCGCCTGCAGCGATTGCTTTCACAGCTTCCTCATCTTGCTTGCTTCTGCGGGTGAGGGCTTTTATCTTGGAGTTCGTTCTTTGACCCTGCTGTGGGTTAGGCAGGCTAAGCAAAAAAAATCCAGTGCCAGCCACGGGCGTTCCTTTTGCGCAGCGCTTCACACGGCGGCAGAAGATGTTCCGGAGAATGCGCCGGCGCGGGTTTCTCATGGTTGGCCCCTGGGGACCTGGACGCCCGGCATGCAAGGTATCTTCGAGATTCCTTTGCAAGCTTTGGCTTGCGGGGCAGCTCGCATTTGCTGCTGACTGGCGGGATGGCAGGCGATGGCGGTGGAGCCGCTGGCGGCATCGCCTCTTTCGACGACGGCGGCTTCGCCTTGTGGGTTGCCGAGGCCTTCATCGACCCGAGGGCTGCCGTAGGCTTCTTGAAGTGTGCAGCGGGATCCGGACCCGTCAACCGAGAAAAGTGATGAAGAGCCAGGAAGGCCGAAGATGCATTAAGAAACGCCAATGGGCAGAAAATCCGATCAAGAGCCCAAGGGCCAATCAAGATGGCGAAGGTCACCAGGGTGGAGGTACAGGTGAACCGAAGGTGCCAAGTAGGCCGTCTACCAGCCCTTGTGGGCTCCCCTGCTTCCTCACTTGCGACCAGTGCCGCCATGGAAGCAGAGTGATCGAGGCTGCTGACTTCCCTCCTCTTCGTGGTGGAGGTGGAGGAAAGGCTCGCAAGCAGAAGCAGCAGAGTGATGCCAATGTCGAGTTGATTCAGCAGGTAGGTGAGCTTCTAGCTGGAAACCCCCGTAACCTTGCACAGCAGTTGACTTCCTTGTTGGCTGCCTTTGCTCGCAATCAGCGGCCGGCGGATTCCGAAGAGGACAGGGATTATTGGAATGCGGCTTCTTGTGTGCAGCCGACGCCACCTTCAGCTCGACATCCGTGGCGCCGGGCTTGGCAGCAGGATGCTAAACGGGCGGAGGCTCCATGGAAGCAGCCGCCCTCGGCGCGGGCTCCTATAGACGATGGGCCAAACGCCGAGCGGGTGGCACTGCAGACGGGGCGGAGACCTGGACCGCCCACACTTGGTCGCTTCGTGCCGAGGATTGGGTGGACAAGGCGGGCGCGGCTGTTGCCCCTGCCATTTCCCTGGACGCCTTGGGCGCCATGTTTGATGAGGATGATTCCGCTAGCCGTGTGGTCTTGGTGGACTCCGAGGACGATGCAGTCCAGGCTTTGGAAATGGTGGCCGCCACCGTGGGCGGCAGCTTGGCAGTGGTTTGGGCAGGCCAGCTTCCAGAGGTGGAGGCCATGCCTAAAGCGATCACTGACTTTAAGGCGACGGTTCAGCGCATACGGGTTCCTGGGAAGCTCGGCACCAAGCTGTCTACGCGGTCGGCTATCGTGCTGGGCTTTGGCGAGGATGCTCCGCAGCTTCGCACTAGGAAAGCTGCAGTCATCAAGTTGCCTGGTGCTCGCAACGGCAGCTGGGTCCTTCGCGTGACGGCAGACTGGCGATACACTAAGGACTCTTGGGATGACCTTCTGAAGAAGGCCTGGGGCCCCCTACGGCGCTGGGTCTCCAGCCATCTTCCGGATGCCGATTGCATCGGGGACACGTGGTCATGGAAACAGGTGGGCCGAAATGCGGTTCAGGGCCTCATGAGGGTTTATGATTCGAATGCGGCCGCGGTGCTCCTGAATGCTTCTGGATCCACTCGAGGCGGCACGTGGTTTGTTGATCCAGTGGGTGAGTTGCCGGCGGGATACCAGGCCACAAAATTTTGTGGTCGTCCTGGAAGGAGCCAGAAAACTGGGCGCAGTACTTGCAACGTGTCCGAGCCGAGGCCTCCAACGGCGTGGTGCTCGGCAATCGGGAATTAGGCCTTAGGCTTAGGGCCAATGATGCACGTTATGTTCCTCCGGGGCGGATGTGGACCATCCGCTGGCTACCTCGCCAAGCCACGCGGATGGATACCAATATCATCCTATCCGGTATGGGATTTGTCGAGATTGAGCTTGCAGCCAAAATCACTCGTCGGCAGGGCTCTTCATGGAGTTTCCGTGCGGAACGGGAGGACGACCTTGAATTGGTTCAGGGCCTTTACGATGGCGGCGATGGCACTCAGGAGGTTCAGGCTTTGCTTGAGTCGAAGCGCAGGGGCCAAACACGTCCTGAGCATTTCCTTGGATCCGAAAGGCGCGTCAGTTATGGTGCTGAGGGCTCGCGCCACAACCCGGCTGATGACAATGGCGGTGACCTGTGGAAGGACTGCTTTGATTGGGAGCCCGTTAACGAGGACCCTGAGTTAGATGGCATTGGGGACATGACTGATGCCCCCCCTGGCTCATGCATGGTCGTTTCCACTGGTGATGGCGCGGCTGCTGGCACGGAGGCCCAGACCGGCTCCACCGGAGTCAAGCGGCCACCTGAGGCCATGCCTAAGAAGGCGGCAGTGCCGAGAGTGCGTGCGCCGTGGCGCCCAACTGGGACCATAGTTCCCAATCAGGGTGGCGGCAACTGCTTGTACTACGCCATAGCTGAGGCTGAGCATGCGAGTGCAGGCAAAACCCGTAGTCACCGACAGCTTCGCGCGTATGTCGTCTCCAAGCTCAAGGATGACCCGGACACGTACCAGGAGCTCTGGATTGGTCAGGGGCGGCCGTCTGTGATGGGCCAGTCTCAGGAGTCGGATGCTTCGTATGATGCTTTTCTTGGTGAGGCTGCGATGGTCGGATCCTTTGCTGGGGCCCTAGAACTGCTCGCATTTTGCCGTAGCCGGAACTGTCGCGCCTGGGTGGGCACACCGACTGGCGATGTGTGGCAATTCCATCCAGAGGGCGAGGATAACAGGCTTTTCCTTTGGTATACTGGCAAGCACTACGAGTACTACAAGGACGCGGTGGAGTCGGAGTGGGCTGCTAGGAAACGCAGCCAGGATGAGCAAGGTGGTTTGAAAGAGCAGCCACTGCGAGGTGGAGGTCGTAAGGGTGGCACCCTGAGCGACTTTGCATCGTCGGCTTCAGCATGTAGCAAGAGAGCCACATCTAGGGCCCGTTCCAGCACCGGGCTTGCCACTATAGCTGCATCGCGTGCAGGTGAGCCGGCTAGTGCCGCGACAAATGTGGTTCCCTCGGAAGTCAGTCCAACGGCCGGTACCGGGTTGGCGGTTTCCAAGAATCCGAGCGTAAAGACCCGACGATCTTGGCCCAGTGCAGCTGACTTGCGCTCGCTTCGAGGTGGCGGTCGCACTCTGGGTCAGTTCGCTTCCTCGGCTGCGTCATCCAAGGGCAGACCTCGGGAGGCATCGGCTCGCGATTCGTTGAGTATATTTGCGTCTACTCCCCGATCGGGGCCTCAAGGTGGGGCGCGCAGTTGTGGAGTGAGCTCAAAAGCGATTCAGAGGTCTGTTCAGGGGCCTCAGGGGGACCTCAGCGGTCATGAGGTGGAGCCACCTCCTACGGATGCGGCCGAGGGCAGCCGAGTTCGATCCAAGTACCTTCATGGTCGCGTGTAGAGGTGGCCTTGCCCGGAATGTCCTTATGTGGTTGAGGAGGCGAAGTTCCATGACATGGATCGAAAACGAAATCGACACTGCACTAGGCATCATGCAGGCAGAGGCCTGCCGGGCCCCCGCAGGGCTAGGCCTGACCTGTTTAGGGATCTCGCGGAGGGGGAAGAGGCTGCCTGGCGTTGTCCTTTGTGCCAATGGGGTGTCTCGAAGGCTGATGCACACCTTGTGACTCAGGAGGCGGCGGCTGTGGCGCGCACGGCACATCGCGCGAAGAAACATCGCCATCTGACTCAGGAGCAGTATCGGCATCGGTGTAGGACGCACTCTCGCTTGCGGCCGACTTTCTTCATGCAGACACAGGTGCGCAAGTTGAACGCCGCGGTTGCTAGGCGTGGCACTGCGGGCATTGACGTCAACACGGAGTGGGACACTTTCCGATGGCCCGTCATCGGTGAGAAGGCCGCCAAAAAGGGGCGACCGAGCCGAAAGGTCCTGTCCGTACTCACGTCCTGGCGGTGCAAGGGCTGTGGCATGTGCACTCGCATCCCGACATATCGTGATCTACATACCAAGAATAAGAGATGTGCCAGTTGGGACGGCGAGCAGGCGCTCCGCGCACATCGGCGGCGCCTCGATCGGGCAGAGAGCGAGGCGGCTAACATTGACCATGGCATGGACCCGGTGCTGCTCAAGGACTTGTTCGCCGCGGCGCGAGTGGCGTTGGGTGGGGAGTCAGAGCATTCCTGATCCATTTTTCCACGATGAATGTTAACCAGTCGGGCGTCACCAAGGTTGAGGCCATTAACGACTGGTGGAAGGAGTTTAGCTCAGACTTTTTGTGTTTGCAAGAAGTGGACATCAATGAGGCCAGTGGTCCGGGTTGGATTGCCAGCTGGAAATCTCGTGGTGTTCACGCGTTTTTGTTGGGCTTTGGGGACCGAGGTTCTCGTACAGCCATCTTGGCCAAGGCTCCGGGACGCGTCATCAAATTAGATGTGCGTGATGACTCTCGCTATACGGCGGTGATGTTCGAGTTTTTGCAGGGTGATGCCACCAAGAAGCTCATCCATGTCAGCTTGTATAGTTATTATGGTGACCTTCAGGCTGCAGCGGCATACATGGAGGAAATTGTCATGGCGCTGCAAACTCTTGGTGTGGAGTGGTTGATCTTGGGGGATCACAACATTTGTGCAAATGAACCTCCCCTTGCGTCGCGATTGGCGACGGGATTATTCCGGCTCCTTGACGATTCTTTTATGGCCAGTGTACAGCAGCTGCCGGGAACAGCCGGTGGCTCTCGACGGGTGGACTTTGGGATAGGAACTGGACGGCTTAGTCCGGAGACCCTGGATCATTACCCGGGCGTTGCCAATCATACCTCTGTTCGATATGGCTTTCGATTCTCGTTGCCGCGTGGTTTTGTGGGGCCGCGCAGAGCAGCTTTGCTTCTTGAGAAAGTGCAGCAGGTACAGTGGGATCAGTCGTGGAACCATGACCGGTTTCAAGCAGCGCCTGATCAGGATGATGTTGATTGCGCATGGCGCATTCTTTCAGATGCCGCGGAGCGCATTCTTCGCGAGGACTTTTCTACGGGCTTGTCGAGGGCGGCCGCGTGGAATCCACGTAGAGCTGCTCTGCGTAGCAAAGCGGCTTCTTCATTTGAGTCGGCGTCTTTGGTGAGGTTGCGGCGCATGGGCAGGCGTGTCAATCAACTATAATATAGTTATAGTGCACACCCCTCAGGACGGGCGTCTTCGTAACATCATTTCTCGGGACATGCAGGCCTTGGAGGGTGATTATAGGTGGCTCTCTGAGTTGGGAGTCTTCGACATGGAGGCTCGTGCTGAGTGGCTGGCGGACAAAATCACAGAGGAGGCCGATGCTGAGCGGCAGCGGGGCTTTGCCAAGTGGAGATCGTCCGTCCGCAACTCGTATCCTAAGCAGGTGAGCTGGATCAAGCGTCGGGCAGCGTTGAAGTCAGGGGCCGCTCAACCGGCTCCGGCGGATGGGGCTGTGCTTCAATATAAGGCCATCCACCCCACATCCTTGATTGCTGAAGCTGAAACTGAGTGGGTTCAGCGATGGACCCGCGGGGACGTGGCCATCGATCCGCTTCGTGAGCTTCTCGAGGAACTTCCCCCGCCGAGGCAGGTCGACGTCAGACCTGTGTTTTATGCTGAATCGCTCCAACGGGCTGCCTCCAGAATGCGTGGCAAAGCGGGAGGTCCCGATAATTGGGAAGTCTCTCATTTCGAGGCGCTCCCGGACCCGTTCTGGGCTGCGCTTGGTGCTCTATGGCAGAAGTGCTATGAGGCGGGAAAGGTTCCAGCCAGATGGAAAGAAGCGAGGGTCACCCTCATCGCCAAGCCGGATGGGGGCCATAGGCCCATTAGTGTCTTGAGCATTGCTTACCGCCTCGGGGGCAGTGTGCTCGCTCGGGCGCTTCGGGAATGGGCAGAATCATGGTTAGGACACCGCATGCTGGGAGGTGTTCACTCCAGGTCGACGCGAGACGTCTTCATCAGGATGATTGATGCGATGGAGGATCCTGACATGACCATCGTGGGGCAGGATGTCTCAAAATTTTTCGACGCAGTGAATGGGGCACACCTACTGCTTGTCTTACGACATCTGCGTGCACCTGACCCATTCGTGGCCTTCGTTCAGGACCTCTTGGATGGACAGAGGCGGCTTTTCGCCGTAGGCAGTCAGCTAGGCGCCTCGTGGCGCAACGCATCCAAGGGGGTTGGCACAAGGCGATCCACTCTCCCCCCTTTTGGCGGCATCCATGATGTGGGTATGGGCGAGCGCTGTGGCTCGTACTGGGGCCGAGGCGGCCACATTCGTTGACGACAGATCGTTTTGGTGCACCACGCTTCAGGGTTTGGTAGATGCTAAGGGTGCCAGTGACCGTGTTGATGCGGTCTTCGAGCTGCGCTGCGATGCCAGGAAATGCCAGGTTGCTTCTCGGGCCCAGGTGGGCAGGCAAGCGGCTGAGACCTTTCGTTATGGGTTTGCTTCGTCCTTCACCACGTTGGGGGTGACCTTTGACTTTGCAGCGGCTTCTGCCCCGACGCTCTCCCGCTATTCGTTTGAGCAGGCTGACCACAGGCTACAGTGCATCAGCATGATCGTCAAGAACCTCGACGTTAAGGCTCACCTCATTCGGACGTTGGTGATCCCTATGCTCATATGGTGTGGGGCGGTGGCGAGCCTGGAGCACGAAAAGGTGAAGCAGCTGAGGAGGGCCATTCTGGTTACATCGCATGCTAATGTCGCGGTGGATGCGCCGCCGATTACCCTCTTCGAGGTGATGGGGTGGGGATGTGAACCTCAGTTTGCGCGCCACTGGAGTGCGTTGGTTGCCTTGATTAGCTATGTTGGGCGCCCTCCGATCTGGCTCGATGAGGCTCCAATGGCGCTGGCGGTTAAACTGTTAAACCTTGGTGCAAGTTGCTCCCGTTGGCTGCTGAGGTCCTTCGTGAGCTTGGTTGGTGGACTGATGCGCGGGGATCCCGTATCTTCCGCCGAGATGCTCGTAGTGAGTTGCGCACCTTCGTGATTGCTTATGACTCGGTGCGTATCCTGTATGATTGGTTGCGAGACTGGCACCGTCGCACCACGTTGGCTAATACTGGTCGAGTTGTTCGTGCTCTCCACCGGTCGGACCCGGTTCTTGGACGTGGGCGTGCCGCCACCGAAAACTCCAGGCCAGCGCGTCTACCCAGGCTCAGCGCTCTGCAGCCCTTGTTACAGTACCGGATGCTCGGCGTGGTCCAAGGCTCGGAAGAGGGGCACCACGGTTGAGCAGTTGCCAGTGTGTGAATGCGGTCTTCAGGTCCAGAGTCGCCCCCACCTGATGTGGGAATGCAAGGGCACACAGCACCTCAGACCTAGCATTACCAGACCTACCAACAGATGCGAGGAGAGACTACTCGCCAAGGTCGTACCAGAGGTGCCAGCACCACCAGACATCATAGGCTACGCGGACGTGATTGAGGAACTCGCGGATGACATCGACAAGGTCCTGGACAGCAATGACACAGTGGTCATCGGCGTAGATGGCAGCGAGGTCACTACGGTCTCGGCTTGGGCTGCTGCGGTCCACAACGGTGGGGTGCATGTCTCGGGGGTCGCCAGCGAGGATCAGTCGCCGTACAGGGCTGAGGTCGAAGGAATCCTAGCCGTGTTGCGTGCTGCCATCGCCACTCGACAAGTTGGGTCATTACTCTTGGTTGCCGACTGCCAGGCAGCCATCCTTGCCACAGAAGGGAAAGGGCGCTGCCCTTTGTTGGTTCATGAGGTGGTGCGCCTTCGAAGGGCGGTCATTGCTCGCGGGTTCCGTGTTCTGCTTCATTGGATCCCTAGTCATGGAAAGCCAACTCCGGCTCGATGGATTGCTCCGCCGTGCGGTGAACATACCGCCAGGGCCCTCAATGACAGAGCTGATCAGGCAGCGCGTGCGAAGGCGCTTCAACTGCTTCGTGGAAGTGCCCGGCAAGTGTGTGATGCGCTACGCTCGGCAGCTGCCGCATGGGAAAGTGCCGCCGTGAGTGCCCTCGCTGGCATCACGGCTTACTTTGACTCGCTCTAGTGAGCGGCCTTTGAGGCGTCGAGGGGTCATGCACCCTGTCGCCATACAGTGAAAATCAGTGAAAATCAGGGGGAGGGATACCGGGCAGAGGTACGCTTGACGCCCATTGCACTGTAGCCTCCTCCTTGCCTGGTGGATCTCGCGCCCGCACTCGCACTGCCGTTGTTGACCCGCTTGCGTACCGCGGGATGACAGGCCAGGACTCTGATCACAAGGCCCTTTGGACTGAAGTCCTTTGCAGTAAGAGCCGTGTCTTTGAGGACGCGATTAGTTTCTGCCGCGACTCTCGCAAGTCCTCTGTTGTGGGCGGTGATCAGCGTACTACCGTTGCGGACGCTCTTGGCTACAGTTGCGTCCCTGTCCTTTCTCCTTTGGGCCACGCAGTGCCGGTCTCAGTCTCGCTTGTTTCTTGACTTGGTCAAGGCGCGCATGCTTCATGTGACCGCCGCCGCAGAGGTGCACCTCCTTTGGACCCTGTGTTTCAGTCCCTTCCTGTTCCTCTTCAGTTGGCGGCCAGACTCACCTCTTGTCTCATGCATCTCTGGCAGCTCTGCGCTGGCAATCCTAGTGCTGACTCCCTCGCCAACCAGGACGACAGGACTTCACCTCCGCGAGTGGTTGTGCCATCTTGTGCGTGCAGCAAGAGCCGTGAGCTGTGCGTTTGATGACGCCTTGGGCTTTGACAGCGACTCTCGTAAGAGGTCTGCCGCCGATGGTGAAAAGTATGCTACCTTGTCGGACGCTGGACTTGCCCCAGCATCGGTCGGTCTCTCGCCGGTCCTAGGATGTGATCAAGGAGCACGTGCTTTATGTGACTGTGCCCTCGTTACTCCTGCATCTTTTCCAAATTTTGTGTTTCAGCCCTTTCTTGCAGATTGCGAGCTGCGCTCAAACTGGGAACCTGTCAAGGCTGCCTTGGGCATGAGAGCCCCCCACTCTCTTGCATGAGGTTTGTTCCTGGCTTACGTGCCCCGAGTTCCGCTTTGACTAGGCACTCCTTCGGCCGGCAGTGCTCGCATTGCCCAGCGTTAGACCGCGACCGTGACTTGAGGGTGCTTCGAGGGCTTTCATGACTTGTTGGCATCCTGGCGTTATCATCACATTCGCATTCTTTAGTGACAACGTCTCCTCATCAACGAGTGGGGGCTATATAAGCCTGGCATCTTGGCGAGTGTGGCTGCTGGTCCAGTTTTCTCACCGTTGACTCTCTCCCTTGCCTTTGCCGTCGGGTGTTGAAGGTTTTCAATGCCGAGGCCGTGTAAGGCCATGGTGTCGTGGGAAGACAGACGCCATGCTGGCCATGCGGAGGTGGGGAAAACCGCGGAACTGTTGCCTGTTTCATCTCTCCACTGAGCTGAGCTGTTTTTGCGGGCTTCTTTCATGGTCAGTTCATGGGGTAATCCTTCGTAACTTCCAAACAGCAGCCTCCTCAAGACTTGAGCCCCTATCTGCGGAAACAAATTTTGCACACTCATCGAAAAAGCCACCGCGGAAGGGAACCGCAAAAGCAAAATGAACATTGATGCCCGCGGATGCTAAAGCCTCATGCGTGCGAGGCTCCCGTAGACTAGGTATTGCACCCCACACAACCAAGAATAGAAACCTGAGTCCAACTGTTCCGCGAGTCAATTCCTGTTTGAATCTCCCCTGGACACTGGGCTCAGGTCACCATCTCCTTGCGGCACACGCATTGCCTTATTGGGCAGTGTACGCGGTCAGCAGGCGTGCGCACTTCCAAGCGATACGTAGAGCCAGGGCCTCTGCAGACTCTGCAGGCGCTTCTTGTTGCAGATGTGGCCCAGCTTCTTGTGTCCTGCCGCGGAGAGGCCGTGTGGACCTGTTTAGAGATGGGATCTACATCAAAACCCCCCTCGTGGTGCTTGCCAGGCACCTGTCGCGCGCCTTTGTTGCCTTGGCACGGTGCTGGTCTCGGTACAGCATCGCAAGTCACAGCCGCAGGGCTCGCGCTTTGCGGATGCTCCAGGCAGCGCCCCTTTACTTTGACTGGGCACCCCATGGGCAGCGACCTGAGTCTTCCCAAAACCGAGCAACGAGCTCTCGGACAGTGCGGCATCTGAAATAGCTCTCAGAGAGGCCTGAACTTGTGCTGGCATGCAATGAGAACAAGCTGGTCTGGAGCCACAGTGCCGGCAGAGGGCAGTGAGGGCAGTGTGTCCTTGACCGGTGAGCTACTGGAAGTGCTCGCAGTGCTCGAGGCCCGGATCCGGGCTGATGTCTTGAACGAAGTGGAAGACTCCGTGCAGACTCTGCCTTGCTGTGAGCCAGCAGAGGTGCCCAAATTTCAGAGTTTTGTTGAAGCAGCTTTACCGTAGGTAGAGTCCTATGGTAAAGGACACTTTCTTTTTGCTGAGAAGGAGCTGTTTCCGGAGCTCCTGCATGAGATTGATGTTGAGTTCAGGGTGCTGGCAGTTGCAGCATGTTCTCGCCGAAGACGTTGAGCCACCTTGTATGCGATGTCGGCAAGATAGGCACCTCCGAATACATCTGGAGCCAAACTGCAGCGAAACCTGTAGCATAGGCAGCATGGGCATTGCAGTCGTGATGAAACGAGCCGTGTCGCCCGCTAACACCTAGCGAACGGACATTCTCAGTCGAGGCAGCGCTCACGGTCACGGGGACTCGTTGCCATGGAAACTAGCGACATGGGGTGGTGGGATGATCGCCGCTGAGGACAATGACATCGAACAGGCGCAGAGATGTAGCTGCCAAAAAAAGCTTTAGTAGGTGGAAGTGAAGGCATTGCAGGGGGCTTTGTTGCATGAACTATGAAAAGGTCCAACAGGAGGCGGAGCGCCACCGCCGGGCGGCGGAGCAGGCTTGGTCCGTAATGTGGTGATGAGGGACACGGAGGGATAGAGGGAAAGTCAACCCAGGCACTGCGCCGCATCGAAGAGCAAGAGAAGGCGTCTCCGGTATTCTTGTTTTGTGCGTGTGGAGCTGCAACGATTCTGCACTCAAGGAGTTGGGCCAGCTCGAAGATCACGTCGCAGGCTTGTTTTGGAGCGTTGGGACATGCAAAGAGCGACGTTCATTTTCCAGGTCTCGAGGAGCAGCTCGCGGCCTCACAGAGCTCTTCTCAGCGCCAGGCAGCAGAGCTGCGCGAGGCCCAAGACCAGGCTTGGCACATGGGGCTCTGGCACTGACAGCGGAGATGCCACTGTCGCAACTGCCATCAGTCACCCGTGCACATGCTAGCTGCACGTGCGTGACATGCACTTGCGTGCATCTGTGCAGGTAGGGGCTTTGGAGCGTGAGCTTCGCGAGTTGCGAGAGACGCGCCGGGAGGAGCCCGAGAACTCCGGGAGCCGCTTGTCCAAAAGCGATATCTCGCCGTGCACACCTTTTTCCATCTCTATCTCTATATTTATATCTTCTTGCCCTTTTAGACGGGCTCAGAGGAGAGCAACCTGGTTCTTCTTTTCATAGTTTTGCATCGTTTAGTCGCGGAGTCGCTCAGACTGTTGTAGCACCGAGGAGTCGTGGTTCCGTGCTGTTAGTCGGCTAGTACAAGTACTAATGTAGACGATCGACCAGCTGCCCTTGGGCACAGCGCACAGGAAGGAAAACCGTGCGATTGAGCAAGGCAGAGATGCCCAAGGACAGACGTGACTTTCCAAGGGCAGTTCCAGAGTCTCTATGTCCTTCATCTGTTGAAGGAGGACACAGCAGGATACCGAGCAGCAGAAGCCATGGAAGCCATAAAGCGAGAGCACGACGAGGTGTTCGGGACCATGCGGCTGAAGAAAGTCTGTTATTCAGGGTGCAAGATCTGTGGCCCAGACTTGTCAGGCGATGAAGGCAAAACAAACCGAATTGGACAAGAACCAGCGTAGCTTGACTTCGCTTCAGGTGGGGCGGTTGGGAGTGTGGTCACCTCTGCAGCAACTTGCACGATCCTACCAATGCTGTCTTCTGCACCTTCAGGAGCAGCACATGCAGCTGCAGCAGTACTTTGGCTATATTAATATTGAGTGCCTGGCCACTGGCGTAGTGAATTTGTTTACTCTGAGGGCGATGTGTTTAACGCAAGGCAAGATCCGAAGCTTAGGTACTGTGAAGAGCTTCGGGCAGCCTCTCATGAAATCCAAGGCCCCTGCACAGGGGATAAGACTGATAAGACAGGAAGTAATGCAAAAGAACACATGGCATGCAGCGGGCCTAACATGTCCCACATCTGGCAGGATACCTTGAAACAGCCGAGTCCGAGAACATCAAGCTGCATAGTGAAATCGAAGAACTGCGCGAGGTAATGGAAGCACATCACTTGCACAAGGCCAGTCGCCGGCCGTGATGTGAGCTCATGCTGGGGACTGCCTGCTGCTGCCAAGCAGGCTCTCAAGACTGTTTCCGAGAAGAGGGGATCGCTGCAGCTGGCCATCTTTGCAGAGAGCAGTCTGTCCGATTACTGCAACATCGGATGGCAACACGAGAGAAGCTTTCCCACTAAGGTGACAGTTTAGCCCACGAGCTTCAGATGGAAGAGCCCCAGGAGAATCAGCAGCAGGTCCGCCTTGAACTGCGAAGAGATGAAAGATGTCGCCCGAGCATGTAGGAAAGAGAAGCCCCGATGCAAAAGACAAGAAGCGTAAGCATTGCAGAGGAGGCCTCGAGCACTCGTTCAGTCTTGCCTCTCCATCAACTGCGGAGATATTGCAGCGCAGTGCTGGCAAGGAGGAGGCCCCAAGGCCACGGAGGGAGGCAGCGGCACGCAGAAGAAGCAGCCAGCTTGGCTGCAAAAGCTGCGATGTCTTTGCCTAGAAGATGTAGGTTCCAAGTATGTAGTAGATGAAGAAAGTAGCAGATCTCGTCCGGACTATGTTTGTGATGCTAGGCAGCGTGGGAGCGAGCAAGCTCGCCGCACTCCAAGAGGAATACGAAGAAAAATTTGAAAGCCAGAGTCCTGCCTGCATGACCCAGAGGAGCAGCAGCTGACGTAGGCACCACAGAGAGGGACTGTGGACTGAGGAGCCAGCAGCTGCAAGTAGCATTGCAAAATAAAGAGCGCATAGAGAAAGAGAAGCAAGAGGCAGGCATTGCTTGCGGCACTCTGCCCAGCATGCGTACCCGCCCATTCCGCAGGCCATAGACTCTCTGCAGAAGCAGATCGAGGAGCTCAAAGGCCAGGCCGTCGCCATACACGCATGGTCGCTTAGCCATGCGCAGTGCAGGCAAGGTTGGAGACGGTGGAGGAGACGCCCTCGCAGGTCTCTTCAAGATGATGTCTCGCATCAAGGACCCCGAAGAAAAGCGCCGAATCTTGCCCATGCACAGAAGGTGATGAATGAAATTGAATGAACGCGTCTCCGCGTGAGGACCTCACGACTGAGGCCTCCGACGCCGTGCTGCTGGGCTTTGCGCCTCCCGAGGAGGCCATGGCCTTCCAGGCCGCTCGCCCGCCGGACGCATCAGCAGAGGCCCAGCGCGCCGAGCAGGCGCTGAGGCCGGGAGAGTCGCGAGATGTCGCGAGAAGGGGGATGAGGGGAGTAGCGGTCTGTACTTGCAGATGCAGGTTCCGGTCGAAGTCTGCAGCCAGCAACCTGGATGCAGTTTTTTTGGTGAAGCGCGGTGGCATGCAGTCAAGCGTTCCAGTGCTCAGTCGGCTCAGGTGACGTCAGGAGTCGCCTGCAGGGAAGGCGCCAGAGAAAAGCAGCTGGCGAAGCTGCGCCGTGAGAGATACCCAGTAGTTTGTGTAGGTTCCAGCTCCGAAGGAGCGTCGACAAAAGCCACCCGAGCTAATGTAATCTTGGCCGCCAGCCGAGCCGGCTTTTAACGTTTTCCATTCTGTGAACTACACCGACGTTTTACAAAAGAGTCGATGACCTGTGGGCGGCTGACTCGCGCAAAGCACTAAGAACTAGAGCATGTGGCAGGCGCAGGTCAAGAGCTTGGACTCTCTACCCGGAACCGTCATTCAAGGGCACGAGCCTCGTCGGGTCAAGGCTTTGAAACTGCTCGGAGCCTGAGAGACGGAGCTTCTTCGAGGCGGATCTCCTTTCGAGCGCCCCAGTGGCAGACGCCTTGGGAAAGTTTCTGAGTCTCCGATACTAGTATCCTCCTTCCGCCTTCTCTCGAAGCTCCAAGGCTTCCGTGGCCAGACGCGGCGGAAGGGCGCTGGCTCGTTCCCACGGACGCTCCGCAGACGGGCCGGGCCTGGCACCGAAACATGCGCAACCAGAGCCGCAGAGCTTCACGGCTCTTCGGCCAGACGTCGCAGATCCAGGTCTCCCTGGCGCTTGTCGACCCTGCCACCGGCCGGTCTGAGATCGTTTGTGAGACTCCTGACTGGACAGTACAAGCATGACTCTTTTCCTTACCACGTCAAGAGTTTGAAGGCCCTCACAAACGAGGCTAAGAGCTGAGTTGTGGCTCAGGAACCTGGCTCCAGAAGCCCACTTCACAGCAACACCAAGTGGCTGGGTCGCTTGGTTTGGGCCTGAGGCAGGGAGGCGAAGTAGCAGTCAAAAACTGGCGAGTAATGAGGTGTGGCCTCCATGACAACCGGGGACACGGCGGTGTGTTTGCGCGACGAGTGCTTCCATCCATGGGTGAGCTGCATGCATTTTGAGCAGATTCGGACACACAGACTTGCAAGCAAAGCTGTGCAGGCCCTCCGATCAGTGTATTTGCGCATGCAAATCGTGTTGAGGCTTCGTTGACAGACGGCTCCGATTGCAAATTATTCGACTTGGGCCTTTTTTTGCCGGGCAGGGCATGAGCTGGGGTGGCGACCGCTTGGCGCTGTTGATACACGCTCCCAACTGCCTGGTTTGGGCAGTCTGCCACTCAGACTTTTGTGGATTTACGTGCCTGAAAGAGCTGTTTGCCTATGATGCTTATGACCCTCGCAGGTATGGGATCCAGTGGAAGCAGCTAGGACAGGAAACGGCTCGTTGCCCATGAGGTTCCTTGGTGTCGCATCACTCGAATGGCAGAGCTCTGAGGCTTGTATGTGGCTCCACAGGGCTTCATCCCCGGTCGCTCCTTCTCCGGACGGGTCTGGAACACAGACGGCGCACAGAGAGTTCACAGTGAGATGGCTCTGAGACGCCAGGTTCTGCCCTTCTTCGATCAGTTCGAGCGACGGGTGCACTACTGGAATCCAGGACCAAAGTGCTAGCTTCAGAGGCTTTGCTCTTGAAGTGTCTTTCTGGCTGGGGGAAGTGAGTCCCAGCAGTAGTTGGTAGGACTTGATGCTTTGGTTTATGCAGACTTCAATGCCGAAGCCGCTCGGCAGTGAAATTAACCCCTTGCTTGTCCTTCGTTTAGCGCTTGGGCAATCCTAAGCAGGTCTGGGTGCAGCCATTTCCACGGCGGCAGCCGCAGAGAGTCGTTGTGTGGACTATTGCGAATCCTGGACTGCGTTGATGCTGTTGAGGCCGCCCCAACCACATTCACAGGAAGAAGTGCATCCGTTGCAATCCCTAGCGGGACCGATCTTGCTCGTCGCTCTTGCATCCCTGAGTTCGACTCAGTATACTCTGTTGGTCGCAGGAGCCCAGTCGCTGTCTCTGGCGCCACCGCGTCGGAGGACCATCCCACATTGCACACTCTTCTTTGACCAGCAGTGGCCATAGGGGACAGCTTCGTAGATCCAAGTCGAGCTAAATGCACTCCTCCACTTGCCATTATCAGTTTATCAGAAAGCCACAAGTAAGCTCGCCACACATCGAACATTAGGTCCGTCTCGGACCCGGCCGCTCGCATTTCGGGTGCATTCAGCTACGCTTCCTCGACACGATCAGGTCAGTCGGCCCTGCAATGCAGAAGTCCGCAGAAGAGCCAATGTCCATTTAGGTAAGCCAAGACTACTTTCCACAGCCACTCATCACCATACACAAAGCCGGGAATCTCAACATGCAGTGTCCTACCCGGCAGCCGGGACTCCAAGACCACACACAGGGTGCGTTCACGGGGAAACGTCTGGCCTTCCTGCAACTTCACCAACCAACCGGGAACCGGTTTACGCAGCACACGGGCCTCCAGGTGTTGCACTGAGTGCAGGCGGGTTTTCCCAAAGTTGGTGATTGCACAGATCAGATCACTGATCGATCAAGGGTCGGGCTGCGTCAAGCTCGGATTCCAGTTCTTGCGTGGGTGGTTCAGGTGGTTCCTCTTCTGCTTCTGCTCGTGTTGTCTGTTGCGATAGCCTACCTTTTCAGGTCTGAGGCTCGGAGGAGCGGAGTTTGCGAAAGACTGTTTGCTGTCCTGGAAGGATTGCCGCAGGCAGCTACGCCTGCTGGAGCCCTTCGTGACAATCCGCAGCTTGTGCTGCTGTATTGGTTGATTACCAGGCTCCTCGCATGCCTCCTCAGCGCAATCAGTCGCTGGACTTGCTGCACCACTCATGCACGAGTGCAGCAAGCTCTCTCGTGTGAGCCGATAATAAAGGGGCGTCTGTGCTACTGGATGCCTTGCCGGTGTTGGCGGGGGGGGGGGGGGGTGAACGTCGATGGGAATGCGACTTCGAAAGAAGATATCAAGTGGGCGCCTGCGAATGCAGCGTTTCGCATCAAGTTCTTAGCATCAGCTGGCTTAGCACCACTTCGCAGCAATGGTGAGCCCAGCCATGTTGAAGGGGATGAACACAGAGGCCCTTTGAATTTATAAGGTACTCACAGACTCTGGTCTAATGTATTCGTGGCACGACAGCACCTTCCGTCCCGCTCCACTGTTGTCCTGCAGGTGTACGGTGAGGGGCACCCCTTCGGCGACCCGTCGTGGTACCAAGCGTACAACACGCCCTACTACAACGACAGCCACAAGCAGTTCCGAAAGCTGATGCGCGAGTACGTTGATGAGCACATCATGAGCAACGTAATCGTCGAGTCAGCAACCTTTGGACTTTTAAGCCTTTGTTGGGCAGTACATAATTCTTACGTGATCCCGAAGCTTATCTTGCCGTTTCCCCATGGCAATTGAGGCAACGTGCACGACTGGGATGCTAGCGATGGACACGCAGTAAATTGTTTTCCTGAGCTTGTGTCGCTACTTTGGGGTGAGACCTGCAATGAACTCCGGCATGCCCCGCACATGCAGTTTTGGCTACCAAGGACGAGAAGGGCGTCATCCCCAAGGAGATGTTGCTTGGCAGAGTCGGAGAGACGTAGGAAACTGGTTAGCAAAGTTTGACGCAGATTTTGAGAACCACGGGAAGCAGCGAAGCAGCACGCCAAAGGTACCTGGAAGCCGGCAAGCAGGGCACACTGGCTCTGTGCATCGGAAGGCCCTGGCCAGAGAAATACTACGGAAAGGCCCGCGCTTCGCATTCAACCGTGCTTTCTCTTCAGGGTTGCTTGGTTGCATGCTAAGTTGATGTTCTACGAACTGGCCAGGCCCCGTGGGGCTTCGAGCCGGACTATTTCCATGAGCTGATCATGCATCCTGCTTGCAGTTGCACTTTGCGTAGTGGCCAGGCAACCGTGTTGTCCTCGTCAGTCGTCCCAAAGGCGTGCTGTCCAGCAGCAAGCAGTGAAGTCAGGTATGACGAGATGTCGCGGACTGGTAGTGTCGGATTTCAGTGGGGCATCGCTGGTGGTACCACGATTGGACTGCCGCCGGTGTACCACCATGGCAGCGAAGAGCTAAAGCAGCGCGTGGTCACTCCATGCGTGAAGGGCGAGAAGGTTTGCTGTTTGGCCATCACCGAGCCGACAGCCGGCAGTGATGTGGCCAACTTGAAATGCACTGCCAAGTTGGAGGGTGACCACTACATCCTCAATGGTGAAAAGCAACTCGGAATGCAGCAGAGAAAAACTTCGGGCACCGTTGGGCAGCCTTACTCTTCGAGCAATCTACAGCTCGTGCTCCCTTGCCAACACGGAAGTTACTCCTGAGGAAGTGGATCACCAACGGAATCTTTGCAGACTATTTCACTGTGGCCTGCCGAACAGGAAAGCCGGGCGTGGGAGGAATCAGCTTGCTGCTTGTGGAGAAGGACATGCCTGGAGTGGAGACGAGAAAGATGAAGTGCTCCGGCGCGTGGTCGTCTGGTACCACGTACATCACCTTCGACGATGTCGCTTGGTGGAGTTGTTAAGACTTGGGTAGCAGCCACGATTCGGAGAGTGAACGAAAGAGTCGAAGGTCTAAGAAGCTGCATCAACAAAGCCTTCCCGACAGGACATCTAAAGACAAAGCCAGCAGCCGAGGTCAAGGTGCCTAAGGGCAACCTTCTCGGCAAAGAGGGCAAGGGTTTCCAGTATATGATGCAGAACTTTAACCACGAGCGTTTCGCTTTCTGTGCCATGAGCACGCGCTTCGCCCGAGTTTGCTTGGAAGACTCCCTGAAGTTTGCCGGCAAGCGCAAGACCTTCGGCAAGACCCTGATTCAGCACCCAGTGATTCGCTGGAAGGTGGCGGAGATGGCCCGCCAGATTGAGGCAACGCAGAACTGGCTGGAGTGGATCACCTTCCAGCTGAATACAATGCCGAAGATCGAGGCTATGCTGAAGCTGGGAGGGCACACTGCACTTTGCAAGGTGCAGTGCACCAAGGTCGGCAGTTCGTCGAAAGCGCAGCAGTCTTGTACCGCTGAGCAATGCTGTTCGCTTGCGAGGTGATGGAATACTGTGCACGAGAGGCCGCTCAGATCTTTGGAGGCCTATCGTACTCGCGAGGAGGCCAAGGAGAGAAGGTCGAGAGACTGAACCGGGAAGTGCGCGCCATGGCCATCCCAGGAGGCAGATGGCCTGATTCAGTCGCAGGCATGTGCAATGACGATATAAGCAAGTGTGCAGATCCGTGCAAAGCCGTTTGCTTGCTTGAGGCTCTGAAGAGATCATGCTGGACCTTGGGGTGAAGCAGTCCACAAAGCTTGCTCAGATGGCGAAGATGTTCGCGGAAGCCGCGCCGCAACCGGCGGCGGCAAAGCTCTAAAGACTCTTGAGGATTTGTGCAGGTTTCACACGGGATTCGCGGTAGTTATCCAGTGGCGGGCTCTGACGGAGCCGATTTTGAGCAGGCCCAAGCGAGGCAACAACTGTTTGAAACTCTGCGCCGAGGGAACCTACCAGTGCTGTGCTGCAAAGCCAACAGAGAAATACACAGAAGTGAAAAGCGGCACACGATTTAGAAGCTTTTGGCTGCTGGCTGCAGTGCATCACTCGGAAGGAGCCTCGACAGTTTCATCTCTAGCTCCCACGGCGCCCGCTCCACTCGGAAAAGTTCAACATGTCTTGAACCGGCAGCTGCTTGCAGGCAGGTCCGTCGGCCAAAAGCCAAGCGACTCGGGACGAGCCCGTGCAAATTGCAGCGTTTCGCGTCAAGTTCTTAGCATCAGCTGGCCTTAGCACCACTTCGCAGCGATGGTGAGCCCAGCCATGTTGAAGGGGATGAACACAGAGGCCCTTTGAATTTATGAGATACTCACAGACTGTGGTCTAATGTATTCGTGGCACGACAGCACCTTCCGTCCCGCTCCACTGTTGTCCTGCAGGTGTACGGTGAGGGGCACCCCTTCGGCGACCCGTCGTGGTACCAAGCGTACAACACGCCCTACTACAACGACAGCCACAAGCAGTTCCGAAAGCTGATGCGCGAGTACGTTGATGAGCACATCATGAGCAACGTAATCGTCGAGTCAGCAACCTTTGGACTTTTAAGCCTTTGTTGGTCAGTACATAATTCTTACGTGATCCCGAAGCTTATCTTGCCGTTTCCCCATGGCAATTGAGGCAACGTGCACGACTGGGATGCTAGCGATGGACACGCAGTAAATTGTTTTCCTGAGCTTGTGTCGCTACTTTGGGGTGAGACCTGCAATGAACTCCGGCATGCCCCGCACATGCAGTTTTGGCTACCAAGGACGAGAAGGGCGTCATCCCCAAGGAGATGTTGCTTGGCAGAGTCGGAGAGACGTAGGAAACTGGTTAGCAAAGTTTGACGCAGATTTTGAGAACCACGGGAAGCAGCGAAGCAGCACGCCAAAGGTACCTGGAAGCCGGCAAGCAGGGCACACTGGCTCTGTGCATCGGAAGGCCCTGGCCAGAGAAATACTACGGAAAGGCCCGCGCTTCGCAGTCAACCGTGCTTTCTCTTCAGGGTTGCTTGGTTGCATGCTAAGTTGATGTCATACGAACTGGCCAGGCCCCGTGGGGCTTCGAGCCGGACTATTTCCATGAGCTGATCATGCATCCTGCTTGCAGTTGCACTTTGCGTAGTGGCCAGGCAACCGTGTTGTCCTCGTCAGTCGTCCCAAAGGCGTGCTGTCCAGCAGCAAGCAGTGAAGTCAGGTATGACGAGATGTCGCGGACTGGTAGTGTCGGATTTCAGTGGGGCATCGCTGGTGGTACCACGATTGGACTGCCGCCGGTGTACCACCATGGCAGCGAAGAGCTAAAGCAGCGCGTGGTCACTCCATGCGTGAAGGGCGAGAAGGTTTGCTGTTTGGCCATCACCGAGCCGACAGCCGGCAGTGATGTGGCCAACTTGAAATGCACTGCCAAGTTGGAGGGTGACCACTACATCCTCAATGGTGAAAAGCAACTCGGAATGCAGCAGAGAAAAACTTCGGGCACCGTTGGGCAGCCTTACTCTTCGAGCAATCTACAGCTCGTGCTCCCTTGCCAACACGGAAGTTACTCCTGAGGAAGTGGATCACCAACGGAATCTTTGCAGACTATTTCACTGTGGCCTGCCGAACAGGAAAGCCGGGCGTGGGAGGAATCAGCTTGCTGCTTGTGGAGAAGGACATGCCTGGAGTGGAGACGAGAAAGATGAAGTGCTCCGGCGCGTGGTCGTCTGGTACCACGTACATCACCTTCGACGATGTCGCTTGGTGGAGTTGTTAAGACTTGGGTAGCAGCCACGATTCGGAGAGTGAACGAAAGAGTCGAAGGTCTAAGAAGCTGCATCAACAAAGCCTTCCCGACAGGACATCTAAAGACAAAGCCAGCAGCCGAGGTCAAGGTGCCTAAGGGCAACCTTCTCGGCAAAGAGGGCAAGGGTTTCCAGTATATGATGCAGAACTTTAACCACGAGCGTTTCGCTTTCTGTGCCATGAGCACGCGCTTCGCCCGAGTTTGCTTGGAAGACTCCCTGAAGTTTGCCGGCAAGCGCAAGACCTTCGGCAAGACCCTGATTCAGCACCCAGTGATTCGCTGGAAGGTGGCGGAGATGGCCCGCCAGATTGAGGCAACGCAGAACTGGCTGGAGTGGATCACCTTCCAGCTGAATACAATGCCGAAGATCGAGGCTATGCTGAAGCTGGGAGGGCACACTGCACTTTGCAAGGTGCAGTGCACCAAGGTCGGCAGTTCGTCGAAAGCGCAGCAGTCTTGTACCGCTGAGCAATGCTGTTCGCTTGCGAGGTGATGGAATACTGTGCACGAGAGGCCGCTCAGATCTTTGGAGGCCTATCGTACTCGCGAGGAGGCCAAGGAGAGAAGGTCGAGAGACTGAACCGGGAAGTGCGCGCCATGGCCATCCCAGGAGGCAGATGGCCTGATTCAGTCGCAGGCATGTGCAATGACGATATAAGCAAGTGTGCAGATCCGTGCAAAGCCGTTTGCTTGCTTGAGGCTCTGAAGAGATCATGCTGGACCTTGGGGTGAAGCAGTCCACAAAGCTTGCTCAGATGGCGAAGATGTTCGCGGAAGCCGCGCCGCAACCGGCGGCGGCAAAGCTCTAAAGACTCTTGAGGATTTGTGCAGGTTTCACACGGGATTCGCGGTAGTTATCCAGTGGCGGGCTCTGACGGAGCCGATTTTGAGCAGGCCCAAGCGAGGCAACAACTGTTTGAAACTCTGCGCCGAGGGAACCTACCAGTGCTGTGCTGCAAAGCCAACAGAGAAATACACAGAAGTGAAAAGCGGCACACGATTTAGAAGCTTTTGGCTGCTGGCTGCAGTGCATCACTCGGAAGGAGCCTCGACAGTTTCATCTCTAGCTCCCACGGCGCCCGCTCCACTCGGAAAAGTTCAACATGTCTTGAACCGGCAGCTGCTTGCAGGCAGGTCCGTCGGCCAAAAGCCAAGCGACTCGGGACGAGCCCGTGCAAATTGCAGCGTTTCGCGTCAAGTTCTTAGCATCAGCTGGCCTTAGCACCACTTCGCAGCGATGGTGAGCCCAGCCATGTTGAAGGGGATGAACACAGAGGCCCTTTGAATTTATGAGATACTCACAGACTGTGGTCTAATGTATTCGTGGCACGACAGCACCTTCCGTCCCGCTCCACTGTTGTCCTGCAGGTGTACGGTGAGGGGCACCCCTTCGGCGACCCGTCGTGGTACCAAGCGTACAACACGCCCTACTACAACGACAGCCACAAGCAGTTCCGAAAGCTGATGCGCGAGTACGTTGATGAGCACATCATGAGCAACGTAATCGTCGAGTCAGCAACCTTTGGACTTTTAAGCCTTTGTTGGGCAGTACATAATTCTTACGTGATCCCGAAGCTTATCTTGTCGTTTCCCCATGGCAATTGAGGCAACGTGCACGACTGGGATGCTAGCGATGGACACGCAGTAAATTGTTTTCCTGAGCTTGTGTCGCTACTTTGGGGTGAGACCGGCAATGAACTCCGGAATGCCCCGCACATGCAGTTTTGGCTACCAAGGACGAGAAGGGCGTCATCCCCAAGGAGATGTTGCTTGGCAGAGTCGGAGAGACGTAAGAAACTGGTTAGCAAAGTTTGACGCAGATTTTGAGAGCCACGGGAAGCAGCGCCAAAGGTACCTGGAAGCCGGCAAGCAGGGCACACTGGCTCTGTGCATCGGAAGGCCCTGGCCAGAGAAATACTACGGAAAGGCCCGCGCTTCGCAGTCAACCGTGCTGTCTCTTCAGGGTTGCTTGGTTGCATGCTAAGTTGATGTTCTACGAACTGGCCAGGCCCCGTGGGGCTTCGAGCCGGACTATTTCCATGAGCTGATCATGCTTCCTGCTTGCAGTTGCACTTTGCGTAGTGGCTAGGCAACCGTGTCGTCCTCGTCAGTCGTCAAAAAAAGGCGCAGTCGTCAAAAAAAGGCGTGCTGTCCAGCAGCAAGCAGTGAAGTCAGGTATGACGAGATGTCGCGGACTGGTAGTGTCGGATTTCAGTGGGGCATCGCTGGTGGTACCACGATTGGACTGCCGCCGGTGTACCACCATGGCAGCGAAGAGCTAAAGCAGCGCGTGGTCACTCCATGCGTGAAGGGCGAGAAGGTTTGCTGTTTGGCCATCACCGAGCCGACAGCCGGCAGTGATGTGGCCAACTTGAAATGCACTGCCAAGTTGGAGGGTGACCACTACATCCTCAATGGTGAAAAGCAACTCGGAATGCAGCAGAGAAAAACTTCGGGCACCGTTGGGCAGCCTTACTCTTCGAGCAATCTACAGCTCGTGCTCCCTTGCCTACACGGAAGTTACTCCTGAGGAAGTGGATCACCAACGGAATCTTTGCAGACTATTTCACTGTGGCCTGCCGAACAGGAAAGCCGGGCGTGGGAGGAATCAGCTTGCTGCTTGTGGAGAAGGACATGCCTGGAGTGGAGACGAGAAAGATGAAGTGCTCCGGCGCGTGGTCGTCTGGTACCACGTACATCACCTTCGACGATGTCGCTTGGTGGAGTTGTTAAAACTTGGGTAGCAGCCACGATTCGGAGAGTGAACGAAAGAGTCGAAGGTCTAAGAAGCTGCATCAACAAAGCCTTCCCGACAGGACATCTAAAGACAAAGCCAGCAGCCGAGGTCAAGGTGCCTAAGGGCAACCTTCTCGGCAAAGAGGGCAAGGGTTTCCAGTATATGATGCAGAACTTTAACCACGAGCGTTTCGCTTTCTGTGCCATGAGCACGCGCTTCGCCCGAGTTTGCTTGGAAGACTCCCTGAAGTTTGCCGGCAAGCGCAAGACCTTCGGCAAGACCCTGATTCAGCACCCAGTGATTCGCTGGAAGGTGGCGGAGATGGCCCGCCAGATTGAGGCAACGCAGAACTGGCTGGAGTGGATCACCTTCCAGCTGAATACAATGCCGAAGATAGAGGCTATGCTGAAGCTGGGAGGGCACACTGCACTTTGCAAGGTGCAGTGCACCAAGGTCGGCAGTTCGTCGAAAGCGCAGCAGTCTTGTACCGCTGAGCAATGCTGTTCGCTCGCGAGGTGATGGAATACTGTGCACGAGAGGCCGCTCAGATCTTTGGAGGCCTATCGTACTCGCGAGGAGGCCAAGGAGAGAAGGTCGAGAGACTGAACCGGGAAGTGCGCGCCATGGCCATCCCAGGAGGCAGATGGCCTGATTCAGTCGCAGGCATGTGCAATGACGATATAAGCAAGTGTGCAGATCCGTGCAAAGCCGTTTGCTTGCTTGAGGCTCTGAAGAGATCATGCTGGACCTTGGGGTGAAGCAGTCCACAAAGCTTGCTCAGATGGCGAAGATGTTCGCGGAAGCCGCGCCGCAACCGGCGGCGGCAAAGCTCTAAAGACTCTTGAGGATTTGTGCAGGTTTCACACGGGATTCGCGGTAGTTATCCAGTGGCGGGCTCTGACGGAGCCGATTTTGAGCAGGCTCAAGCGAGGCAACAACTGTTTGAAACTCTGCGCCGAGGGAACCTACCAGTGCTGTGCTGCAAAGCCAACAGAGAATTACACAGAAGTGAAAAGCGGCACACGATTTAGAAGCTTTTGGCTGCTGGCTGCAGTGCATCACTCGGAAGGAGCCTCGACAGTTTCATGTCTAGCTCCCACGGCGCCCGCTCCACTCGAAAAAGTCCAACATGTCTTGAACCGGCAGGTGCTTGCAGGTGACTTCGGGAGGGGCCATCCTGATCGGATACCTCAGTTTTTTTTCGGTGGCTTCCGGTGATGAGGGAGGGGTTTAAGGGTTGGGGACTTGGGAGTTTAGTTGTTCAAGGGTCTAGGAGGTCGAGGGTTTAGGTCGTGGGGGTTGGGAATCCCGAAGAAGTTCAAGGGTTTATAGGGTTTCGGGGGGTTTAGGGGTTTGGGTTTTAGGGGTTCAGGAGCGGGGGACAAGGGGAGCTCTTTGCCGTAACCGGGCTGCTGGACAACGAGGCCTGCTGCAAAAAGGGGTTCAGGAGCAGTTGAATGGTTTAGGGCTAGGCTTCGTGGTCCGGGGTTTAGGACATACATGCATACTGCATACACGCATATGTATATGTATGCAGGCATGTATAGACACACATACACATGCGCGTTCATATACATATATATATATATATATGTATGTATGTATGTATATATATATATATATACACATGCATGCATGCATGCATGCATGCACACATATACATAGTGCGCATGTATACATACACACCTACATACGTACCTACATGTCTTCATACACATGCATGCATACATACATACATACAGGGGAGGCAGGGGGAGGGAGGGAGCGAGCGAAGGCAGTGAAGAGAGAGAGAGGGGGAGGAGGGGGGATGAAAAGCGGCACACACTCTAGAAGCTGTTGCTGGCTGGCTGCAGTGCATCACTTGGAAGGAGCCTCGCCAGTTTTATCTTTAGCTCCCACGGAACCCGCTCCACTCGGAAAAGTCCACGATGCCGGGATCGGTTGCTTAGGCGTGGCTCGCTTCATCATCTCTCACCAATTCATTCATTCGATCTGACCTCACCGACGGCCATATCGAGTGCCTTCCGTGACATTTAGCCACGAATCGTCATTGGAAGGCCGCATTTGAGCTTCGCTCGTCCGCTGCCTGGCTCCGAGGGATGCAAGCGCGGCACAGCCAGGTCCCCTGACGGGCGGGCAGCGACTTGTCTGCCATCGCCATCACCTAGAATTTGGTAGAGATAGTATGCTGTGGCACTGGATACATTCACTCCGTGCGGCCCTATGTATATGATCAGCAGATTCTGTACGTTCTTGTTTTTGCCTTCGTACGTCGGATAGAAGATCACAAAACTCCAGCTTCTGTGCAACCCTTCATTGACCACGCAAGGCCACATGGCCTTGATATCGCCACGCGGGTACGATCCCGTTCCCGAAGGGTCGTTTTGCTCAGAGGCACCCGCCATGATGCTTCCTTCGTGGCGAGGAGTGAACAGTTGATTCTTCTGCAGGACCACCTTCTAGGCGGAGACGGATCGCCGGGAAGATTGAAATATGTTGGTCACGGACGAGGGGTGTCTTGCCGGATTGACGGAGCATCAATCGCGAACTGTTGCTGCTTGGATGCTGCCCCCAAGTTCATGCAATTGACAAGGCCTTTGCGAAGGTGGACGATGTGAAGTTCGTGGGTGAAGGCAGAGGTGACTACGACGTCGTCCAAGAAAGCAGCTGGTGGCGAAGGCAGGGCTGTGACATGCTCTGGCTGCTTCAGGAACCGCGTGTTTGTGCGCCAAACCTGCTGAGGTGCTTGTGCTGGACTTGTTGCGTCTGCTTGCTGATCTCGCTGCTGATTGCAGCAATCACCGCATCGCGACAGTTTTACCAGCATGCAATGGACGCAGGAATGCCCCGCTCCTCGCTTGAGATAGCATTGGCCGAAGATGCGAAATGAAGTCGCAGACAAGAGGTGTGGTGGTGGGTCGGGTCGGGGCGGGCCCGGGCGGCCGACATTCAACACCAAAGGGGAACCCGAAGCATGCACACACGGGATGGTTGGGGCGGCTGCCCTGTAGTCAGCTGCAGACGGTGGGAAGCCTGGTGTCACTGTTCATAGCAAGACTTCAGCTTCGCGGCTTACGCACCCGGTTATGTACGGAAGAGCGTGAATCTGGATCTGAGGCTACAGTTGTTACAACAGCGACGGCAACCTACCACCTCCCAATGCGCGCATGATCCAGACGTGGTCCGTGCCGCATCGCATTTGGTGTTGCGACAATGTGGGAGTCGGATGCGAGACCAGCACTAGCTGCAGCCCCAGCCTGCTACTTCTACTGTACTGCCATAATCTCACGGCTTGCCGTATAAATAACTCGATCACAAGGTCTTACAACAACTCCCGTGCCGACTACGTGGATCATGGTGCCAGTTCCGGACTTCCATGAGGATTCTGGGCAGCATGCGCGGCCTGCCGTAGTGTAGGAGTGTGGCCCTGAGAGTCCAGCGGATTTCAGCAGTCTGATCGAACCCAAGGGTTTCTTGGCGCCGTGCCCGCCTCAGACCCCGCAGGGGATTGATCAGGAGCTACTTGACCGATGCGGATCTGTTGGCTCCTTGCTGTCGCGACAGGCATGCACAAGCTGCGCAAGGCGGACCTCCGGTTGTGCCTTTTGCTGCATGGTGGCAGAGAGCTCGTTTGCGAAAAAGAGGTCGACAAATCTCCCCCCCGTATCCCCCAGCAACCGCGCTCCACATGTGGAGCAGTTTAGGCTATGCAGTTTCATTGCCACGTGGGGATTCCAGACACTTGGTCGTGCCATGGCTCGTTGGGACCGGAGGATGCGCCGAGAGTTTCTTCTTTTGGGTAGGCCATAGACCGTAGCATCATTTGCGGGTCATGGCAGATTTCGGAGTGGGATTACGGAGCAATCGCGGCTCAGGTCGACGCAGAAAGCTTTCTGCTGCGAGCGAGTGCAAATTGGTTGTCCAACTCCACAGCCTCCCCCAGTTCCACCGGAACCAGACTGCGTGGCCGAGCTGCAATTGCTACCGAGGGCCCTGGAGTGCATGGTGCTGCAGATCATGCTCGGCGTAGATCCTGGTGCATTGGTTTCAGGATGACAGGTCAGGTGAAGGCGTAGCAGGAGGTCATGTTCAGCATCCAACTTCCGCGCTGGCTGCACTTTGGCTCGAGCTGCGATTCTACAAGAACAGTTGATGAGAATCCCCGAAACTTCGCAGGGAGGAGTCGGTCAAAGATGGGGTTGCTCTTGAAATGCATCGTAAAGGCTGATGGCGAGAACACTAAAAGTGCATGCGAGTTTGCAGAATTGGTCCGTGTGATGGCACCTAGTATCGCTTGCCTCGCGTGTCTCGCTCCCCTTGTGGTGCATGTTTGCTGCACATCCACGGAATTCTCGAGCGAGGGTGCTCTGTTGCAAGGCTTGGAGGACCCCAATACTGAGCATGCCATACTGTCAGACAGCCTACAGTGGATGCGGACATGTATTGCCAACAGCTGGTGGAAGGCTGCCAGAGCCATTGTGTCTCGCACTCACGCCCAGAAATCTCCAGATGCTGCATCATCCACACTAGCCTCCCTGAGCTCGGAGGTTCGCGCCTTAGTCAAAGGCGTAAAGCAGCAGGCGGACCAGTTTGCCGAGTACGCAGACGACACATTCCGCGGGCATAGACAGGGCTTAGATGACGTGCCTTGCGCGTTGCAGTGGGCACAGAACTCCACAACAGTCTTTTTAGCTGTGAAGTATGCCAGTCGCTGGTCAGCTCCTGGGGCCATCGAGATAGCAGATGTGAACGTGAACATCACTGCTGCTGCTTTTGCCTTGTCTGGCTTCGGGCACCACTCCAGCATCCGGAAACGCTACTTTGTTGACTTGGCGCTTTATGCGGACGTGCTGCCAAGTCGCAGTACATGGTCGGCAGCTTCGGTCGGCCGTGCCACCGCCACGATCCAGAAGGCCCAAGCAGGCAAGTGGAGCCGCCTCACCAAAGCCAAGGACAAGTCGAAGCACCAGATCACCAGCTGGCTCGACATGGAGGAGCGCTGGTCTGAAGAGCTGAAGAACCCTCAGCCTCGCCCGGAAGCAAAGTCGACGGAGCCCAAGGCACTGGCGAATATCCAAGACATGCATGGCATGATCCGTAAAGCAGGCCGAAGGCCAAAGAGGCACGTTTTGCTGAGAGAAGATCAGTGTTCAGCTGTCGCATGTCAGGCAAAGGTGGAGACGACAACTCCTGCACCCGCGAGCCGCGAGAAGGGGCAGCGAGTCCACACACCAATGTACAAGAAAGTGCAGCGGCAGCTGCATAAACAGATGAAGCGAATGTCGAAGTTCTTCAGCAGAGGCCCGGACATGACTGAAGGAAGGGCCTTCTTGAGCTCTCGGCCCCGCCCGTCAGGCTTGCCCTTCGTGGCGATTATCTTGGGCAGTATTCTCGTGGGGCTCGCCTTTAAGAGCTACTTCGCTCCCGCCCCTGGGGCTGCATGGCTATCCCTCGTGCAGGGACTTCTCCACCTTCTACCCGTAGCTTTGCTGGTGAATGCAGGCTGCTGAGACGGACGAGACGTCCGAGCCGCAGCTTGATGCTGTCCCCAACATCGCAGAGGCAACGGAGCACGAGAACGAACACTGCCTGTAGAGAGCCGTGATTGTAAGATGGATGCCCTGACAAGAACTCTTGCCTAGACGCTGATGCAGGTGTTGGCGGCGGCTTCGCCCCCGAAGGAGAGCTGACCAGAGCGGGCGGAGCAAAATCGTCAGTTACGAACAGCTTTGCGCTGCGTCCTTCCTGTGGTACTCTGACTGAGCCTTGCTTTGGCTAGGTCGTGTCTTCGGGCAACAATCCTTTGACTTGGCCTCCTGTCAAGCAAGCTTGGTACCGACCCGAGCTTCCCACAGCTTTGCTGTGCCTTGCCGTAGCCTTGCTTGCCGCGGGCCTTCCGATTTTCCAGGTGCTGCGAGCACCATCAGACTGGATGCATCAAGGAGCCTGGTTCCATGCCAGTCGCACATCTCGTCATGCCGCATCTTGTGGTAGTTGCTGCAGATTGATACGTCACGGATCGATCTGGTTGTTTTTCTGCCAGTTCATTGAGTTTCTGTACCCTGCCCGGTGGATTGCAAGAAGGAAAGCGGTTTCCACTGCATCCTGGCGGCGGAGTCGAGATCGTTTTTCTTTCGGGCCCGATGGCTTCCACCAACCTTCAAAGCTTGCATCGTTCACCTGTACCAAGTCGAGGATGCCGATACATAAATTTTGTTCGTCGATTGTGATCGTTTTCTTGCCGAGGCGACGAAGGCGATGCAAGTGCCTGGGCCCAGGACCGCAGAAAAATGCTCTCAGCCAGGGGTTGGGACATAGATGCTGGACCCGTGCAAGGACAAGAGGGCGTATTGCTGCACGGCCGCTGGCCTGGGCTGCACTACTCAGATGCCCCTGGAGGGGCAGATGTTCGACTGCACTGAAGGCGTGTCCCACAGAGTACAGCATCGATGCAATGTAGAGCAGGGTGTGTGGGATTCCGGTTGGTGCAGCAGGGATTTCAGGTGGCTACGGGCGTTGCATCGCATGCGCTGTGATTCGGTTCTGTACTGTCGTAAGCAAGCACTACTTCACGTTCGTCCGCAGGCTATGCGAATTGGCCCGAGTGGCCGATCAACAAACAGTCTTGGTGCTGCGCGGAGCTGAGTAAGCTGAGCTATGATCTCGCGACTGTCGTGCTGCGCGTTTGCAAGCATTGCAGCATGCCCGGGCTCGTCATGGCTGCGCGACAGGCGAGCATCACTCACGTGCATGCCCCTCAGAGGACAAGCAGCAGTATGAATGCTTCTCGGCTGATTAGGACGGAACTCCTGTCGGGCACGAAGTGGGCGTAGTGTCGCATGGAGCCCGATGACTTAGGTAGCACATCCGAGAGCTCGTGGATCAGCGAGCAGAGAGAGTGGTGCTTTGCAAGCACGTCTCATAGCATTTTCTGCACCACAGGGCAGGCAGCAGTGGCTGACTTGTTTGACTTGTGTGTCCTAGTGCACCATTGAACCCAACCAGGAGCATGCTGATCAATATAAGTCAGGACTCCCGGGAATTGACCGGGCACATCTGCTAGCAGATAGTAGGCAGAGCAGCAACAATCGATGTTCAAGGGTTTTCACTAGTCCCAACGAGAAGTGGCAGTTCCGTACATGAAGTCAGATCTCAGGTGCTGTCTTCACCATGGAAAGGCATGTGCTGAGTGAGACGCAAGGAATATGCTGCGGACAAGTGCTCCAACGGACCCAACGTGCGAAGCACAGACGGGAAACCACTGCACCAAGGACGCTTCATGCTAGAAGCCATGAGAGTGAGACTCGTGAGGTCACTTATGTTATACTAGGTTTCCAAATATTCTTTCTCTGCAAACATTCCGCGATCTCTGTACAGGCTTCGGGAGGGGATGGAAGGATTCTCGGTCTCAGCTCCATCAGATTCAAACCGAAGTGTTTGTCAGAAGGTTCGAATCCAAAGCAGGTTCAGGCCACGGTGCAGGAAAGCCGAGAGCGACGGACAGAGATTAAGGCAAGTCCCGGAGTCCCCAGTTCTCTGCCAGAGGGAGTCTTCATGTCGGGGCCACAGGCTTTCAAAGCACCATGTACTTGGAGTGGAAAGTGCGAGGTTTTGCGCACGCTTTTTTCTGCCACAGCGGGCGATAGGGCCCTAAAAATTCGGCCCTTTGCTTGTGCAAAGGGTGTGAGTTTGGGAGAGAACTGTTTGCATAGCAAAGTCAGCCGAGGGGCCAGCCCTTGAACCCCAAAGGGCCGCAAGCTGAGATGCCCCGCCAGGCAGGTCGGGTTGTGGTCCAGTGCCAGACTGGAAGCTGCAGATGTACAGACGTACAGGAACGTCGACGCGAGTTTCTGCTCGGCCGAAGGCCAGGCAGCCGTACCAGGAGACCAGAAAGCTGGCAACTGGTGACTACAGCGCAGAGGTTGCAATATGATGCAACATGACTGCTGGAACACCTGCCCCTCCCTTGCGCTTCGAGGCTTCTCTTAACTTGCATAGCCGTTTGCGGCGCTTTTCATGCAGAAACGGCGGGAGCCTCGCGAGCTTGGCAAAGGCTGCCCCTTAGACACCCCCACCTCACAACACTGGCAAACACTCAGTCCAAGTCGTCGACTCTAGCAGTATACTCTACACGGCCTGAGCTGTTGGAGACCCTAGGCCCTGGGCTTTCTGATCGTCGAAGGGCAGCTCAATTTTAACATGGCTGCATTATTGGATGTGCTTGGCGTGCGACGACAGGGCCTTGTCGCACGGCTCTCGGCGCAGCTTGCTTCCTGGATGTTGCGCGGTGGCCGGCGTGGTCAGGTGATCATGTGCCCGGTCTGATGATAAGGGAAAAAGTCTAGAAGTGCCCCAAGCGCCGACGAGCCAAGCCGAGCCTGCCAGTCCTCCCAGCGAGGCAAGGGAGCCTCGCCGGGGCTGTCGTCCTGGTTCCCATCTACCCGCCGTGCCCTGTCTCAACCTCTCCTGGTACTACTACTGTAAGTAGTAGATTAGTAGATCCCCTAAGGGGACTTCGGAAGGGATGTGCCTCCGCATATCGCATCTGACGAGGAAGAAGCCCTGGCTGCCCTCCGGCTCTCCGCTCGTCGAGCGCATGCCGGAGACCCCAAGCGCCGCTAACCCGTCGCTTCCCCAAACGAACGGGCCCCGGCCACCCCCCGTGGAAGCACGGCACGGTCTGCGAAGCACAGAGCGAAGCGGAGGGCCCGTCCGTGCCTGCAGGAGGCCGCCTCGCGGGAGCTGGCGCGGCTGAGCCTCGTCGCGCTCCTAGCCACTTGGCGTGCGGGAGGCGAGGCCTGCGACTGAAGCCGTCGCAGTGCCGAAGGATGAAAGTTTGTCCTGACAGGCATCGCTGCCCCAGTGACTGCAGAGCTTTTGGAGCCGCAGCGTGATCGCGAGGGCAGCAACCTCAGCTGCAACGTAGCTGTTGACCCCAGCAAGGCGCAGCAATGCCGAATCCGCCCGTTGATGGCTTCTCCTTTGCCTGCTAAGGGCGATTGCTAGCTGAGTCGGAGTGGAAGCGTAGCGAGATATCAGCAGCATTGCAACAGTGGCAGCTGCTCGGCCTGGACCGGAGGATAGCAGCATTGAGGCTCGAGGCATCAGTGTTTTCTTGCGGACCACGGCAGTACGCAGGCCAGATTTCGTCCTGAGCTTCGGCCCTCTGGACGAGATTTTCCTCCGGACGGCCACAAATCGGAGAAGTCCATGGAACCTCCGAGTTCCCCACGTCCGCTTGAAGTTTGAGCGGGAAGGCAGAGCTCCACCGATGTCGATCCCTGCAGCGGAGTTGAAGAACGACTCCGACCTGGATCCTGGAGATGTCGCTCTGTCCTTCAGTGGAGGCGAAGAGATCAGGTTTGGAGATCTGCTCTCTGCAGTTTCAGATCCTGCTGGCAACATGCCTTTCAGCAGCGAGGGTGCTGCTGGGATTCTAGGTGCGCATTAGTTTCATTGTTTGCCACGGTCTTTAGCTCTAAGCAACACGTCGCCCCCGCATCGGCTTAGGATCATCAGTCTTCTTCGGATGGCCCAGGAGCGTTTCCCGAGCGCCTCGCGGCCTCGAGAGCGGCCGTGGTGGGAGGACCCAGGCCCTGGCCTTGCCGGGGCTTCGGCCTGGCCGCCCAAGCGTCTGCCAAAGCTGCAGACGATGTGGGTGGCTGTGGATGCAGCTGATCCCAGCCGACAAGGCCGAACCGTTGACGGTCACATCTATTACTGGAACCGTGAAACCAACGAAACCTCCTGGACACGTCCTTGGGGCGGACGACGATCCGAGCAAGTCAGGACGAGGCTTCGCAACCTGCTTGGCACCCGAGGCTCTCCTTTTGGTGCCAGGCTCACGCGGAAGGCTGCTGGTGGGATGCTTGGCCGCTGCTCTAGTGGTCGTCAGCGTCGGAGAGATCAAACCAGTTTAGGTTTAGTGCTGGAGTATATGGGCACTCGCGGTCGAAAGCCGGCTCGCCAAGCAGTGATGCAGGAGCAGCCGTGAAAACCGGGTTCCGGAGCGACTGTTTCGCTGAATCCCCGCTGGAGGGAAACTGGGGACATGATAGTCTTTTTATCTTGCAGGTTGTCCTTGCTGGGGTGTGCTGCTAGGTGTTCATGCTGAGTCGATCCTTCCCTGCATGGCTCCAGCACCGAACCCAGCTGTAGGCATGCCTTGAAGCCCCTCATCGGCATGTCGCCCTGGCCCTTGCAAGGGCCCTTGATCTCCGTATAATCATGGCTCCGCAGTCCGCGAGATGCCTGCTTAGGCCGGCGCGGGGATTCACGGGCTTCTGCTTCGGGACTCTGGTGGGCTCCGGAGCACATTTCGGTAGGGCCGGTAGGGTTGACATGTTGTGTGGCGAAGTGGCGGACACCTTCCTGAATTCCTCTGGTGCTTGTCAGATGCATTCCCAAGGCCCAAAGCCTATCGGTTAACTTGCCTTGCATACGGGAAGCAGCCGGAGACAGACCCAGTGATTTCGCCTACTTGCACGTGACCTCACCCCACTGCAGTTTCCAAAGGGGGGCTGCAGTTGGCGAAGACCCAGTCAAAATATTGCCTTTTCTGTCTATGCTCGTCCGGATTTGCATCATTGTTTTACGCCGATTTGCATTGAATATCCCGCCTTCCCTTGCAGCTAGCCTGAACCAACACTGCTTTCAGAGGCTGCCAGCTCGAGCCGTGATACTGCTGTTTTGCCTGGTGGGGGCTGATCGTGCCTTGGATGTCAGAAGAAGGTTGTGCAGAGGGCAGAACATGAAGTGCGAGCTGTTGGGAGCCTTTGAGTTTTGGGCTCGCGTGGGCCCGCACGCGTGGGCCCGCAGGCACTTGCATCATTGCTGGGGCTTGAGGTGATTCCTCGTGGTCCTCAGCAGATGTTGAAGCCTTCGAAGATTCAGTCGTGCGCCTGCAGCTCTTGCAGCTGCAGTTCGATTTGGAAAGGGCACCCAACGACCAGGAGACATCATTGCACTGATTGTCTGAAACTGTCTGTAATAGAAATGCATGCCCCATGCATGATGGCCAGAGGACCCCAGCATCGTCGTGGTTCCTCCTCGGCCACACAAGTTCCCAACGGACGAGACCGCAAGGAAAAGGATCGAAGTTTTCATGCCATAGGGCCCACTGGTGTGAGCAGCTGCCAGGATGGAAGAGCAGGCATTCATTCCAACGAGCGCTTTCCTCCTTGGAGCTATGCTTCTGGCGGCCGGACACCGCATGCCAGGCCTGTCACCGGTGAGGTTTTCAAGTTTGCAGGTCCAAGGCTGGCAGGTTTCGGAGGTGTCGTAAGCATGCAGCGCTCCAGGTATGCTGGCGACTTATTTTGCGGGGCAATCCAGCTTTGCTCTCTACATGAAGCTTGTGCTCTCAGAAGAGACCGTCTCGCGGGAGATGAACATGCGCGGGATGCCCGCGGCCTTCTTGGTGACTGCTATTCAACAGGTAGTGGCCTTCCTATCCCTTGGTTTGGGAATGGCCTTTTTATATTTCTCGCCCTACCGCTACGTTCCCAGGGCATTGAAAAGCTGGAGAGAGGCCCTTGCGGTCCTCCTCTTCTCAGCCGCTGTAGCAGTCAATATCGGCTTGAACAACTTCAGCATGTCTTTGCTGCCCGTGTCGCTCAACCTGGTCATTCGATCCTGTATTCCACTGGTTACACTGGTGCTGCAGCAGCTGGCGCAGCAATTGGGCCTTTTGACGGCGAGCCCAGTCGGACTTCTGGATGCCACTCGAAACGACTTGTGTGAAGGCATAGTAACATAGTAAACTGTAGGTGTGCATTTGACTGAGGCATAGCGTCGATCCCAGCAGCTGAGGTCAGCTTGATGGTCACAGGGGTCGCCTGTGCTGCTGTCAGCGCGCTGGCTGAGAGTGCAACTTCCGGCAATGGTCCGGCACCTCACTTGATGCTTGGCGTCTTGATTGCAGAAAACCATGCCGAGCCACATAAGGAATGGGTTGGATAATCCATTGGTGGGGGCTGCGAGCTCTTTGGTTTGGACGGTTGTAGAATTGTAGCACAGGTTAACGCAAGTTGCTCGCCAGGTGTCTTGATGTGCTCCCTGGGCGACATTGCTGCAGCCATGACCTTGATCTTGATGGCAGCGTTCGGCAGTACTCTGGACCCACCACTGAATCCTTTGGACACGTGCCTTGGCTGCAATCTAACCGGAAGGATCAGGATCCAGAAGTCCCAAAGTTGGCTTGGAGCTGTTAAGATGCCGAGGATCTTTTACATGGCCCTGCCATGCGCCTTAACACTTTTACCGGCCTCTCTCTATGCATCTCACCCTGTCGATTGGCCGAACTTTGGCGTGCTGACGGACTGGGAGGCAAGTTAGCCTGAGAGCACTGATCCTGTCGGCCTTTCTCTTTTTCGTAACCTGTTGTGGCTGCGCTTGGCCTGGCCATCATGTTGTCCATCCCGTCGCAGGTCTACCAAAAAGTTCACGTTCTCAGTCCAGGCACCATCTTCCTCGTAATCGCGTCAGGCATAGTTTCAGCCGGTTACAACTTCATTCAGTACACTGTGGTGCAATCACTCTCCGCAGCTATGGCAGCAACAGAGCCTTTCTGCTTTTATCGTTCAGATGGCTGTGGGCGTTGTCGTTCAGTTTCTCCTGAAACTTCCGCAGCATTCCCCAACCAAGGCGAGCCACGCAGCGTTTGCAGGAAACTTCAACAAAGCCGCGACGATTTCACTTTCCATCTGCCTGGGTCTGGAGACCCTGCCTGGGGGCAAGTGGAAGTTTGTCATGCTTCTAGGGATAGCTGGGAACATCCTTGCGTTCACAGCATGGAGTTACCTTCAAGCAGTACGGAAGCAAAAGACAGAAGAGAAGACCCCTACCTGAGTGATGCTAAGCGATGAAAAGTGTGCTGGTCCCATGCCTGTGCTCATGCTTAAGTGTTGATCACATGTGCGGTCCCGCAGGGTAATGGGTGTCGCTTCGCAGTTGACAGTTCAAGCTGGCTCGGGCATTGCCAAGCTCCCTTGCTCGTCCGGTGGTTGCAGCCATGGACAGGTGGGACTCCCTTCAGCAATCTCAAAGTGTGCTGGTCCAGTAGGCAGAAGCAACTTCACTAGTGTAGGGCACACGCTTTCACACAGCTGGCATGGTGCATGGAAGCAGACGAGGGTCCTGTAAGACAACCGCTCAGCTTTGCCACTGAGATGTGACGGTCAGGTATTCCGGGCTGGACGCAGAGCAGAAGGCCGTCCTTCCAGCATGGCATGACCAGGACCATGTTCAAGAGAAGATGCTCACTCTTCAAGCACCCGCAAAAATGGCTCTCAGAGCTGTGAATCGTCGAACTCGATGCGTCAGCAGGTAGTGCAACAAGTAAGCTTCTAAGCGTGCTTGTTATCATGTCCTGCATCTTTTCCCACAGTCCTATAGGTAAACATGTCTCAGGGGCACCGAACAGGTTAAGGACCGCAGTGCCATGCAGGGGATGTTTCTCTGTTCTGTGTGAGTGTGTTTAGAAAGGGTAGCAACGTGGGCTCCTCCTGCATTAGTGCAGCACTTCCAGCAAACGGACCCCCAAGAGTCATAAGGCAGCTTTTGACTCGAAATCCATGCTTTGTTTCCTGATGTACTTTCTGATGGAAGCTGACTCACAGCCCAGCATAAACCATATGACACGTTTAAAGAGGTAGGCTGCGGCTCTCCAGATGTTTGGCAGGTGGCCTTGCTTGCTCTCTTGCGTGCCGCGGCGGAAGCTGAGCTTGACACGGAGGATGCCCGGGTGAAGTTGTGCCAGACTCCCAGCCAGTCCTGCTTTCTTCCCGCGCTTGACAGCTTCGTCTAAGAATCGTCAGACGAGATTAAGACATTCGAGGAACTCTTCAAACAACTATCATGTCGTCAGAAGCCTGCGTTGGAAGGACTACTTGCGGTTGCAGACTTGTTGCGGCGGTCGTCAGTTGTAGCTTTATCGTGGCGGCGGTCGTCGTCGTGGTGGCAGTAGAAGCAGCAGCCGTAGCAGCGGTCACAACAGTAGCAGTGGTAGGAGACAGTAGGCGCAGCAGCAGCAGCAGCAGCAGCAGCATCTCCTGCAGCTGCTGCAGCCGGCAGCTAGTAACTAGTTGTAGGAATTGTAGCAGACGTTGTGTTACAAGGAGGAAGAAAAGAAACCGCAGCAGCTGCAGCTGGCGGATTTTGTAGGTGTAGGATAGGAGTAGTTGTGCGAGGAGGAAGAAGCAGAAGGGCAGCAGTCGAAGAAGTGGCGAGTTCTAAACAGCCTAGCACGAGGTCAGGTCTTCCTGCATTTTCGTGTTTCGGAGCTGCAGAGCTGAGGTGAGTTGCCGGACTTCAAACCCAGGGCCTGCTTCCAAGACATCCAGGGAAATAGCGTCAAAGGACCGTGGGATGGCCTGGGATGTGCTGGAATCCTCCGTTCCTTAAAGTGTCGAAGTTCTGCAAATAGTGGGGTGTTACAGGGCTTGGCTTTGCTGCGTAGCATAGCAGAGCCCGACCGGCAGGATGGATGAGTGCCAGTGATCTTCATCTCTGGTTATCCTCGCAACCACACCCAGTCGCAGGTGGGTAGACATGTGCACTTGTGAGACGATTATGCCCCATCAGCGGTATTGCGAAGCCCAGTCACAGTCGATGACGCTGTGGATGCCCTGTTCCTTGCTGCTGGCAGGCTACAGGCTGGAGGATGTCTTATCCGCCATTAGGCTTCGTACCGGTTCTCTGGACATCTTCCCAGAGGCAGGGACAGTAAGCCAATCCCAGTTGGTACATCAATGTCAAAACCCCTACCGAGCAGGACTTTATCCGGATGACGACCCCGAACTTCCGCTCTGGAGCTTACTTGAAGGATGGCTCCCCAAACATGCGCATCTCGAGCCAGTGCGAGTGTCGAGTAGCATTTAACGTTGAGCTTGCATTGGCACACGTGTGCAGGAGCTCGCGATTTCCCGCTCTTTCTTGCCATACCTCTCCTACGAGCGACCGCTCAAGTACGAGGTGGCATACCGCCTGAGCCAGTCCCTCGCCCAGATTTGCACCAAGCAGTGGCAGCGCAGCCCTCAACTCTAGGACTCTCCGCTCGTTCTCTGCCGTCCGAGTCTGAAAGTCGAAAGCTCATGAAAGCTCAAACCCGTGGACTCCTGGATTCCTGGATATTGCGCTGTGGAGAGGGGGGGGTCTCGGGGAGCCTACAGACTTGGGCTTGCTGCTGAGTCGTTGATTTGACTTCATTGGCGACAATGTTGGCTCTATTGTAGAAGTTTTGTGGGGCAGAGGGCTCTCCGTGAAGAGCAGAAGTGACCTACTTGCTCTTCGGTGAAGTCGTTGCTTCACGTTCAACTCCGTGAAAGTCAGCCACATCGAACTTCCCGAAAGCATACTGGCTCTGAACCGCTCGTCACGACCACCCGCAGGCTTGTCCACCCGTTTCCTCACCTGCGTGTCCCAGAGCCGCAGTCGAAGCCTACTCGCGCTAGCCACCGACTCCGAACTCAGGTGTCCCTTTTAGGATCTCTTTTCAGCCCTATAGGAATCCTTCGGCAGAGTCCAGACCCAAGGCTCTTTCTGTTGGAGCTGGACTTCATGAGCCGCCTGCGCTTTCATCAGAAGCGCTTGCGACAGGCCGAGATGTGCTGGCCGTGTTGCGACTTACGGAAATCGGAATCTAGTGATCGTGGGAAACCTTCCTTGACCCTAACTCTTTAAGGCTGTCATTGCACTAAGAGGCTTCAAGTGAGTGTCGAAAGGTAGGTCGAGCAGCTTGGAAGAGTCCACACGGTGCGGAAGTCTGGCCCTGCCTCGCTCATCCCACTGCCATTCGAAGCCTGTCGGCTTAATGACTATGGGGCTTGTCGTTGTTGCGTCTCCGTTGTTAAATTCTTGACTAAGGAATCCTGTCAGGGGTTTGAGTCGGCTTCCCATCTACACTACCGATAGATTCGACAGAGGTTGCTTTTCTGGATGAAGGATTGAAGGACCTTTTTTCGAAGAAGCTCCCCAAGTGAAAGCTAATCCTCTGGAGTTGATTGCTTTGCAGGTGGCAATCACCGGCGTGAACATCGTGAAGTTCCTGGACATGGAAGAGGGCTTTTGTGCAGGCGCTCGGGATGCTCACAAGCCACAGTCGTGCATCCCTTACCCATTGCTGCTGGCTCGATTCCGAGTCTAATCTTGTCCTGCGGGAAACAAGCAAGTGCTGGTCACGGCGCGAGACGGTGGATTTCCGGTGCTAGCTCTCCGGACTGAACATGAACACATCAAGCCAGCACGGAACGATGCGCGAACCAGCGCACGATGCTTGCGAACGCACTCTTTAGTGTAACGGGGTGGTCAGTCTGGCGGTCAACATCGGTCAGCGAGAAATGCATGCTAACAAGAGGCTCGCACCTTCATCAAAACCAGGTCTTCCCCCACGCTCGCAGGGATTCCATGCTTAGCCACGAGGGGGAGAGAGAGATGGCTCAAGCCGCGAGTGGTTCAAGACCGAGCCCAGAAAGTCAGACGGTCTGCAAACCGGGGGACAGAGCGAGAGAGAGAGACTGTGCACGGCCTCCCTCATAGCCCTTGCCACGACGCCTACAAGTTTGTAGATCTACGCGTGTACTCCAACCTCTTTCGGCGGAGCGACATCGGGGGGAACGAAGCACATCGGTGTCTGTGCGCTGAAACTCGAGGACTTTGCCAGCCCTCTCCGTCGACGGGATCGGCGGAACTACAGGACTTCTTTGAGTCGTACCCGCTTCTGCCTACCGTGAAGGTGGGTGAGGGATTTTATCACTTACCTGATCGTGACACTTCGTCCACGGCATCAAGAATAATACTCTCGATGGCTGGCACACATGGGGGATCCAGAGCACCCACATCCCCAGCACAGGGGGACAACCCGGGAGTGGCGAGCAGCGGGCGAAAACGTCCCGCGACCACCGACGATGAGGGGGACGAGCAACCATTGACCCTCAATACACTCCTTGCCGCTCTGAAGGAGAATCGGGAGGAGATCGTCGCCAAAGTTCGTGAAGACATTGATGCGATCAACACCCGTATGACTACAGTGGAAGTCACAGTCGACACACATGTGACCAATACCACCAAGTTGCTGGAGGCTATGACAGATCGTCATTGCGTGATGGAGCAAAGTGTTCGTAACGTCGATGAGAAGCAGAAAAGTGTGCTGGAAAGACTGGAACTCCTCGAGGGGAAGTTCGCCAAGGCCAATTTCTCTATATCGAGTACCAGAACTTCCGAGACCGACGGGGGAAACCCCCGCCCTGCCCTGGTGGTAGGAGGCTGGGATGCTGACCAGCATCATGAGGAAACCCTACAGTTGGTGAAGCAGCACTTGCACGACTTGAACGTCAACCTCGACACCAGCCAGGCTTTCGTTCCAGGGCTTAGAAGGGGATTCGCCCTTGTACCCCTAAGCAAGCTCGAGGGGGAAAACGATGCTGAACAGCGTGCTCGTGTACAAGAAGTGCTTCGAACTATTCGAGCAGCCAAGATCGTGACAGGCCAAAGACCCGAAGGGGGACACCGATACTTTTTCGCAGCCCTCAGCCAGAGTCCTGAGCGCCGCAAGAAAGCCCAATTAGCTGGCAAGGTCAAACGGCTAATTATCGAGGAGGGAGGCGATGTTCGTAAAATCGACGTTGAGTACGGCACGGCCAATTTATGGTACAACAGTGTGAAAGTTGCATCGGGGGTTACCTCGGCTCCAGACGGTGCATCAGTCGAAAAAGCTGGATGGGTGCATCTCGGCACCGTGGCACGACAAATCGGAATTTCCGAAGAAGCTGCGACCTCCAAGTGGGGGGAGCTTCGGAAGGCCCTTCAGTGAAGACAACAGCAAAAGAGGGCCGAACTCTTGACCAGGCCCTCGCAAACAGTGCATGTGATCAGCTGGAACGTCGGGGGACTTACCTCTGCCAAAGTATTGGAAGTCATCCTGGCCCTCCGGCGACATGGAATTCAACCCTTTTGTGACTCCCTGATCGTGTTCCTCCAAGAGATTATATGTGACGGGGGAAAGCACCACGCCTCCCTGGAAGAGCTGCAGATGGTCTTCGGGAAACGAACTGAGGACTGGCGAGGCAATGGCATCATGCACACCTCGAATCTGCGGCACACTCGGGGAAAACTTTTGCCTTGTTCGATTTCTTGCACTTTGAGTTCGGATGCTCTCCGTTTGGGGGCCTTTTCTATACATATACCACATCATGCCACACTTTCAGCTACCGAGCAGATTCTTCAAGAGCTTCATGCCCACTTGCAGTCACATGCCCGAGCAGTCCTAGGCATCGATGCCAATGAGACTTTTGAGCCCGCGAGACAACACAGACAGGTCAGGGCATGCACAGCAAGAGGGGAAATGTTGCTTGAGTGGTTCGAAGAACAGGGGTGTCATTTTCCAGAACAGCAGTTGCACGAGCCGAGTCACTACCCCTACAATACAGCCTTTGAACCGCGCAGACTCGACTACGTGCTGGCAAAGAAACTACTGTGCGACCCCGGCAAAGTTCTTGCTCAGAGAGATATTGCCACTTCAGACCATGAGCCGATCTCCGTCCCGTTGACCCAGATCCGAGTCCACGAGGGCAACATCGGGGGGAAGGCAGCACCATGGTCCTCTCGGACACTGCGACCTGGGGCTGTGGTCGATGCTATCTTGGACCAGCAGGCTGTAACCGGGGGCGACCCCGTCACCCAAATCCAGAAAGTCGCTGTGGCCATCAGCAAGCCCGGCAAGAACAAACAACCATTCAAAGAGTCAGATGCCCTTCGAGCCCTTCGCCGACATGCCCTTCACACCGGGCCAGGGGAAGAACGGCGACGACTCTGGAAAGCAGCGCGGAAGATGCACCAATCCGAGCATCGAAAATGGCAACAACTGGCGATGCAACGTGTTGCCGAACTGGACTGGGGGATGAAGAAGGCCCTCGTGGAGCAGAGCCGTGATCACTCCTGGGAGCTCAACCTCACCGACAGCGACCAGTGGAAGCAAGAGCTCCGGGACCACTTCGAAAAGATCTTCCACCGACAAAAACAAGTGGTAGTCACTGCGAAAATCCGGGGGATCATGAAAAAGCTCGAGTACAGATGCAAGAACACGAAATGGATACCCTTCACCTTGGAGGACCTCAATGAAGTCAAAGTGAAGTGGAAAAATGGGCGATCTTGTGGACCCGACCAGGTGTCACACGAAGCCCTCAAGGCCATGCTCCCCCACCCGATTTGGGGGAACCGCCTACTCGCACTGTTCAATGACATGCTGTACACATGCCGCCTTGTCGAGAGCATCGAAGCAGGAGCCACTATCCTGTTGGCGAAAACCTCCCAGCCACAGAACTGGGGAGAAACAAGACCTATAACTTTGAGTTCAGTCCTCCTCAAGACTTTCGGCCAACTCCTCTTGCAACGAGCCGGGGAAACGATCCAAGCCCCCGCCAGACTGCAATGGTGCAGGCGGGGGAGGCAAGGGATCGAACTGATCCTCATCCTCCGACGACTAGCACGAGTTGCACGTGACTGGGGCCTCGAGTTCTACATTGCGAAATTGGACATCCGCAAGGCTTTCGATTCCGTTTTCCAGGAAAGTCTCGCCGAGCATGTCTGCCAAGTAGTGGGGGAAGATGCCAACCTACCCTGGGAAGCTCGAGCCTGGGTTGCTGTACTACATGCACAACATCTTTGTGTCCAGGTTGCCGGGGAAAGCATCCCGATCCAACAAAGCAATGGAGTTCGGCAAGGTGCACCAGAAAGCCCCGTTGCTTTCGGCTCTGTGGTTGCCAACGACCTCAATGCTGCCATCGGGGAAGCGAGGAGTTCTAAACCAACGACAGACACAGCCCCCCCCGAAGACGGGGGAAGCTACATGGACGACAACTACATTTGGTCAACATGCAGAAAACACTTTCAGCACATGCTTACCGCGCTGGGGGATAAGCTGCCCTGCCGCGGCCTCTACCTGCACCCTGGCAAGACGGACATCATCACAACCCGGGAGAAGGAAGTTCATTTCCAGGTCGCGGGAGAGAGTGGCAACCAAAGGGCCCAAGCACATCTTTCATGTGCTAGGGAGTCCCCTCTCTTTCCAAGGGGGAACCGCCATGTTGTTGGCGGAAGCTCAAAGCCGAGCCCGCAAAGCTTTCTGGGCACACCGTGACTCCTTCACTTCGGCGGCTACCTTCAGGCAAAAGCTCCAGATACATGTCGTACTTGTGCGTCAGAGTGCACTTTGGGCCTGCCAGACATGGCCTTGCCACAGCAGCCTATTTCGGGGGATCAACACAATCCAGTTATCCCACATCCGGGTCATGCTTGGTCTTCGTCGGCAACCATGTGAAGAATGGGCCACATGGAACAAAAGAAGCTTACGACGAAGCCGACTCGCACTATTTCATTGCGGGGGAACCCGATGGTCAACTTTTGTGCTGTCGCAAATTTGGACCGCCATCGGGCACGTCAGCAGAGGAGATCCGATCGGGGGGAAAATCCTCCAATGGCACAGCCTACAGTGGTGGCAAGACCAAAAGGACCGGGGGATCCCAGTTCAGCATGGCCATCGTTTCAATGCTTACATGGACATAGACAGGCAATTGAGTGACACAGTGGGTAAGAATTGGTTTGCCATTGCACAAGACAGAGAAGTATGGGGAGAGTGGGAGGCGGTCTTCATTGCGAAGTATGATGTCCCATGGAGTAGTGGCAAACAGTGCAGCATCAGCAACCTAGCACCGGGGAACCATCAGACAGACGACAAGGCATTCCTACAAAGTCTTACTGACACTACCAACAAGAGAGAGCACTCAACAAAGCAACAGAAGAGACGGACCAAAACAAGACACCTGAATAACAGACTCTTGGTATCCTGACAGCAGAAAGGGGGAACACCCTCAAGCAATCACTGCATGTTCGTGAATGACCTGATTGCCTCTGACCAGTGACAGCGACATGTGGTGTGCAGTGCGAACTTTTTCCTTGCTTTCTGTCAACATGGATACGACGATCCTGAATCTGCTCGACTACATCCTTACTGCTCAAACATGCGACATGCCACGACTACATTTTCGCAACTCGCACCTTGGTACTCGATCCTAGACGACTTGGCTTTCTGCACAGGAAAGCTGACAAAGCAATAAAGCAAGACAGCAGACAGCAACTTTGCACAGCAGAGATCTCGACGAGATGCTGCGCACCAAACTCCTCCTAGCTTTGGTACTCGCAGTGCCCTACGGGCACGTGTCTACTAAGGCACAAGCCCCTGGCACAGACCCAACACACACAGCACCGGCAGAAGCAGGCAGCACAGACGGCAATCCACCCGCGGCAGAAACCACAACAAGGGGACATCACAGTCCCGTACCGGCCCACCCCCATACAGCAGCAGACGGGGGACACAACTCAGGCCCCAACACAGCAACAGCACCGTGGAGCAACCACGAGTGGGCACAACAACACGCCCCCACCCAGCTGGCATGGGCAGCGACACATCTCACTGCTAACGGCTATGTTACAACATGGGGCGGCTGGAGCACGACACAGGGCGGGGGAAATGGCCCTCAACCGCCCCCACAACAGCCACTATACTTCCCACCTCCAGCATACCAAATCGGCGTACAGGCATGCGGCTCACAACAAGCACCACTACCACAACAACCTCCACCTCGACAACCACCCTCCGCACAAGCCATGACAACTGGCCCTTACCAGCCACCACCACAAGCTCAGCCCCAGCAGACCCACGCAAGACCACAAGCCAGAGACATCCACGGCTATCATCCCACGTACGACTGGGACTTCGATCCTTGGAACAACCCAGAGGACGACCCCCCAACAACAGCAACACAGGAGACGAGCGCGGCAACGAACCCGACGGGGGACCACCCACGTGGTACACCCTTACCACCGACCTTCACCGCCACCTCTGCAGCTGCTCAACAACCACAGCCACAACAGGTGCAACAAAGCATAAGCCAGCCACAGACGACTTGCTGGCTACCACCACCCGGGACAGGGCCACTGCCAAACATGCGGCAATCAGAATACACCAACTGGATCAGTACAGGCCGCATCCCCGACACATACCTGAAGAGAGTTTGCACACCAGGCCCGGACACAGAGGGGCACGAGCCCCCCCAAAACTCCACGGCAGCTGAAGCCACACCACAAGCGCCCCCGGGGCAAACTGAAGAAGCTGCTGCGACAGCAAGTATACCCATCAACACTTCTTGCAGCGAGCCCCCACCACCACTACAGCCACTCCAACCACAAGCAGATCCACTTCCAAGAGCCAGACAATCGGGAGAGCTCCCCGAGTTCGTCCAACCACGACCACCACCAAGCCCCGGCAGAAACACCACCGACTCCCACGCAGACCCACAGGACACCGCGACAGCAGACCAATCCGGCGAGGAAGAGCTGCACGACACTGCTACTGAAGACACAGGCCTACCGCCTTGGGAACATCCGGAATGGGGGATTGACCCCCCCCCTCCCTCCCGAAACACACAAACACGGGGGGCCGGACACGGCTCGCAACGACTGGGCAACAAAGAAGGCAAACATGCTTTCAAACAGCGGGTCTGGGCGGGGGAGCAACTCGTAAGACCCGACCCCCAGCCTCAGCACGGCCCCGGTTGGGGCATACTCGCGAGTCGAGCACAAAGCTCCACCGACCAACACTCGCAACAGGCAACCTCCACGCCTGGGACCAAAAAGGATTCAGCAGCGGAACAACAGTTCCAGGAGGCCTTGGATAAGTTCCTCGGCAGAACTCGCCACTCCAAACAGGACGAACACAAAGGGGGACAGCAAGACCCTCCACCGAGCACAGCCAGTTCCAGCTCCACGGACACCCACCGCGACAGCAACGAAGCAGAAAAGCAAGCCCAGCACACGGCAACCCGCAAATACATACCTACTCCGGAGGAGCAATGGCAATACGACAACGCACCGGAGGGACCAGACTCCCATGACCTTGACATTCCTCCCAGCGTACCACATGCAGAGGGCACGACAGTGCAGTATCTACCCCTAACAGCGGGGTGTTGGGACATCCACATCACAGCAACACACTACATACCCACTGCACTCACAGCCTCAGCAGGCCTACCGCCACTCCAGATCACCCACACGGGCCAGAGCGGCCCAGTCCTCACAGCACCTCCCTTCACAGTCGGCCTGCGAGGTCGTCTAGCGCCAATGGGACCACCTGACACATGGCTTTTTCAAGTCACTTCCACGCCTCCACTAGACGACTTCTGGCCACAGAGCATGTTTGTGGTCGCGGGGGATTCCTTCATTCTCCAATTAACCGACAATGGCTGGAAGATGACAGTAGACAAGCAAGCCGAGTCGGCCGCTCGGGAGTACCGACGGGGGGAAACCAACACCCCCCCAACAAAGACAAAGCAGCCGCAGCAGGGGGAGCAGCACAAGCAGTCTCCACCGGACACACGCCAAGCCACAGCTGACACCGGGGATGAGCAACAGCCTTCCAGTGGCCAAGCCTCCAGCTCGGCCGACACCACTAGCCACGGGGGAACACTCCCAAACACAAAGCCACGACATGTGCACTTTGCAGCCAATGTCACAGACCCACCGGCAAGAGAGCGACGGAAAAAGCCAACACAAGAGACAACCGGTGCTCGCAAAAAACCAGACGAGCAAGACGGACGTGCCAAACCACCACCACCACAACCACCACAGAGCCCTGGAGAGTACAGTGCCTTTGTGGACACGCGCGATCTGAGAGGTAACCGTGGCAGAGAGGGACAGCCCCCTTCGCGTGATCGCGAGGCCCCTCCAAAGCCCACCAAACCGGTGGACCTCCTTTCCCAAATCCGCGACGGCCGTGACATCGGGGGGAAAAAGAAGAGCACCACTACCTCCACAACCACCACGACCTTCAACGACCCACCTTTCACCACAACCATCTCCTGGCCAGGGGAGGCCTCAACAACTACAACTACCACAACAACCACTGACGAACGACCGCCACTGGCACTACCCACCACCACAACCAGCGAGAGCCCGATGATGTGACCAACCTTATGCAGCACATCCAACAAGCCCTACAACGGGGGGGGATTGCACCGGCCTCCACGACAAACCCAGAGCCAGCACCACCACAACCACTACCTTCTGGTGATGGCGCACCGGAGACAATTCCCGACAGCTCAGCAGAACCACCACAGATGCTACCACCCATACCACAAAACCGAGCCACGGAGCCTACACCGGCCTTCGCAACCAGTGCAGAGCGAATCGAGCACTACCTCACACGCATCTATAGCCTGTCAAACCAGCTCCCAGGGGGGAACATAGTGGCACATTTGGCCCAGTGTGCCCTAGCTGACTTGCTAGTAGACGACCAAACAGAAGCTGAAGTCCTCCGCCACCTTGAGCTGGAGACCGCGCCCTTCCTCAACAGCACTGAGGAGCCTGAGGCCAAGCGGGTCAAAGTTGAGCAGAGGAGGACAGCCACCCAAGAAGCACTACAACGCATCCGCACCAAAAGCCTGCGAAGACTACAAGCAGACACCCACCACAACTACATCACATACTACGACTTGCAGCATGACGTGGATATAGTTCTAGCATGGCTGAACTCTCACATGCATGCCATGGCCACTGCCGTCGATGGACACCCCCAGCAATGGGGGATGCCAGCTGCAAACCTGGCCTACGAGCAAGGGATGTTCAACACCGGGACCATCCTTGGGCAGATGGGCGCAGCGTTGCAGGGCATACAGGGGGACCCCAACAACCGCGACAGTTGGTTGCTCCTCGTCGACGTCGTCGGATACTTGGCTGCTGTGGAAAGGGGGGAACCCATTGGGCATCCTGCTGATGTTATAGCAGAAAGCCGTGGGATCGTCACCTCCAACCTCGCCCGCGAGAGACGTGAACGGCGAGCGCGGGGGATGGCAATGGAGCTCAACGAACTCCGAGGGCAACTGCACGAGTGGCCCGGGGGAGAACTCAACACGATCCACCGCGCCCTCTTGGATACCTTGGAAGCGGTGGAAGATGCTCTACAGCCTGCAGAACCTGAACCACCGGCACTGCCTGACTTTCACGATCAGGGGGAACGTGACGGTGACGAACGAGATCTACATGCACAAATGATGGCCCAAGTCCCCATGTCGTCTTCCGGGGGAGAGCCATGGTGGCTATACGATCGTCACCATGGCCTGGGAAACGCTCCTTCTGGGGGGAACAGAAGACCCCCCAGTCCAACTGAAGACTTCCCCAGCGACAGTGATGCGAGCCCACCAGATCACCGCCGACGAAGACTGAAGAGCGTCTTTTACGATCGACATGGGCCGATCTGAGCTGGTGAGCGGGGGATTTAAAACAAGAAGCCGATTGTCCCGGCAGCTCTCTATATTTCCGCTTCGGGGCCCCGTACCATCACGGGGGAACGAAGCTCATGAGTCGGGCCCAAATACATTTCTAATACTTGCATACCGTCCTTTAACAAGCTGTTGTCCTTTCCTGTTTCCATCCTGCACAAAGAACAAAACAAAAAGGGCCTGGCAATATCCGCCTAGCCACAAGCTGCTGCCATGCTGAACCTAATTTCCGGAAACCTTGCCAAGTGCCGCTGCCACTACTTTGTGCCTGTAGTTCTGCCACAAGCTGTTGCTTTGTCATTGCGATGAAGGGGGATACAGATTGGATCTCACTGTAACATTTCTCGCCTTTGACCCCCTAGGATCCTGTACACTCTGCAATGTTAGGTCCCCTATAGCCTTTTCTTTGCCTACGAAAGTAATGATCCGATCTTGCACCACGATAACCCTCCGCGCAAACTTTGGACAGAGCCCCGAACGATCTTCTAGAGTCACTTTTCATGCTATGCGGTTTTGCTTGTATGGCATGTGATTGAAATCTTTGGGGGAAACTGTCCACCATCTCGCTGAGCGGGTTATACACATTCTCCTTGGCCTTGACCAACATTTGTAGGGTATATGGAAGTAATCACTCCGGGTGTATCTTCCTCCTCGCAGTTGTGACTAAATTTACTTGTTGCATTCCTCTGCACTGTTTTTCCATACGGGGGAAGATTACCAAAGAGAGTGATTGTCCGGCCCTTAGTCTTTTGATCCTGTATGTCATTGGTTGCCAAGCTATCTTGCCATATGCGGCCAGGAGAACTGTGATGTGTTTCAAGTTATGGTAGGCACGAGGGGAAACTCTGTAAGAACTCAGGTATCGCCTGTAAGGCCCGTAGGGATAGCTGTGCCATTGTTTCTCGCAATACAAACCCCTTGTCTGCCATAAAACGAAAATGCACTTTAGGTTGATGCACCGTCAATACAATCCCCAGAAATACCTCTTGTGTGGAAATCTATGTTTTTGCCTCTTATATGTTCGGGGGATTCGGCATGTGCTGTGTGTCTTGAATGAACAGGGGGACATTGTAAATCGACATCGTATACTTTATGGCTATAGCCTTTTACAATGTTCACTGTTCTTTTTCACCCCCCGTGTCCGTCAACACGACGGGTGGGCATGCTGCCCGGGGGCGTTGACCCGTCCCCATGCCCGGGAGAGAGAGAGAGAGAGAGAGAGAGAGAGAGAGAGAGCGAGAGCAAGAGTGCACAAACAAGAATAGGCTGTTGCTAACAAAATGCGCTCCGGAACAAGGGGACAAAAGGACAAGGAGCCAGCCAGTTGCCCTGGACCAGGGGGGCTTAATTCGCTCTCACTCGTGGAACTTATGCGATCTGCTGTCTTCTGCTATCTTCTGGGAGGCATGGGAGGCCTTTTATCGGCGATGGGCGTGCGCCACGTTTTGTCCAAGGGCGTCGCGGGCTACACTCGGCCGCTGGAGCCCATGCTTTGCGATGCCTTGATGAAGCGCATCAACCCCACGGATGCTTGGATGGCAAAGAACCAGCGTTTCATTAAAACGAAATCGCGTAGGTGCTAGACGGCTACAGGCTATAGGCGAGTTGAAGCTGCTTTTCAATGCAAGGATGCGGCTTTCTTTCCTGCTGACCATCTCGGGCGACTGATCGACATGCCGCTTCCCTCGGCTACTCAGTACTACACTTGGGCCGAGAGGATGGAGAGCAGTCCGCTGACTGACAGCTACATCTTCCGGTCGACCAGTCCAGCACGCCTTTCCTTCGAGAGCCCGTTGCTTGAGCCAAGCCCTTCTTCGCGGATCCGACCGGCTTCACCCAGAGCTATGTCTCCCACGCGGCGCAGCAGTCCCTTCATGGAGCCCATGAGCCCCATGAGCCCAGTGACGCCATTGCCGGACTACCTCCAGCCGGACTCCCGACCACCGCGGCACTTTGGGTCAAGAGATTGGGAGTCGAAAGACTGGAAAGCAAGATCGCCTTCCCCGGCTCGTCGACACTATCTCTCGGAGCTCTCCACTCAGGACCCCGGCCTTTCATCCTTCGAGCGAAGTCTTGCGGACACCTATGTGTCATCGCCTGCAGCTCGGCTCAGAAATGGGTTTCGCGACGCCGCCAGCGCTCTTCAGTCAGGAAGCCACGAAGGCCTGGCTGCTACAAGTACCAGCTGAGGTGCCCTATTCTCCACGGACTCCGCGTCCGATGTCTGCAGGCACCATTGACCATGTTTTCGTGGAGGGATCTGTGCGACGATACTTCCTCTCTCTCGTTTCTGCCTGAGGCATTTCTGCTGCTGCATCCCCTGGTGCTTCTCCATCTTTGGGAACTCCGCTGCCACGTCGTTCTTTGCACTTCCTGGACACGCATGCTTCTCGATTCGAAGATGCAGCGGCACCACAAAGTACAGGAATCTTTGCCTGCCCTGCTGCCTAAGGAGCAGCGTGCTGTGCAGCAGACACTTGCATGCATTTCCAGTGGGCGACAACGAATCGCAGACTTCGGACAAAGTTAGGATTCCAGTCCGTTTTCATCTGTGTCTCCAGTGGACGGTTTCTGATTCAAGGACCCTGATCGTGATGGCTCGGCAAGCCAAGCTGGACTCCATGGTGGCGCAGACAGCAATAAAGGGTCGGGCTTGTCTTCGTATGCCAGCCACGGTCAGGCGCAGTGTTTCGTGATGTGCTCAGGTGGAGGATGCTAAGACACTTCTCCCGCCCACCTGCACAGTGGAAGAGATCTTCAACGAGCTGGACCTTGAAATGTCGCATACAGCCTCACCTGGCTCTTCTCTTCCGTCATGCAGTGCTCCTGTCCGAGCCAAAAAGTGTAGGACATGATGCGCAACGGCTACGTCACGCTTCGGGACATCCGCCGATTCATGGCAGGTGCTGCATAGGGAGAACAGGAGCCCTCAGAAATTGTGAGGGAACGTGAGTGTATACACCCGTGCAAGCATGAATGGATGTATGGATGTGTTTATCCCTAGCTTCGTCTGTGAAGCACCTGCATACATCCTTCAATACATGTGTGTCTGACTGTACATGTGTGTATACATACACACACATACGTGTATATATATATATATATATATACATATTGCATATGTGTTTGTCCCAGGTGCGGATGTATGTGTCGCCACAGACCCTTTGAGTCAGGCTTCGGCTTCACGGCCAAGTATGCCAGCTTCACCGGCCTCGTCAACGACCTCCATATGCGCCGCAAGGTCTTCCATCAGCATTCCGTGCGAGGCGGCCCATGAGACTTTGAATCTGCTTCGTTTCGGATATGCCCGAGTTGCAGATCGGGTTCTTGTGTACCGGCAGGTGCCAGGCCTCTGGAGTGGAGCGGCCTTAGTCGACCTCTTACAGTGACGCAGCCCTTGCCCCAGAGCTTAGCTGGTAGCTCCGGAAAGTGTTGTCAGGTGCCCTGCTGCCTCCGGAGAGCTTAGACCTGCGCGACACGACAATGCTTACGTTGCCCTTCACCGGCGAGGGTTGCAAGGCGGAGGGTTGTAGGGATGAAGCTTTGCTCACAAGCTTCAGTTGTCGCTTTCCTTCGTCCAAACCTTGTTGATCAACCGCAAATGCAAAGCTGAGTCTAAGTGCCGTTCTGTCGCGATCATCCGGACGGGTGCCCATGCGCTGGGAAGGCTGTCATGGCGTCCCACACTGATGCGGAGGCTGCTTCGGTGCTGTACTTGCGTCTCGACTGAGATTGACTTCCGGGTTTTCGGTTTACCCCAAAACGTCTGTGCATAGTCAAGTCAGGCTTTCGAGCCATTGCGTGCATCGCTTTCGCGATGGAGAATCCTTGCAAATGTTTTCTTTGGCCTGCACAGCCCAAAGTCTCTGTAATGAATTGTCTTGAAGAGACTGCAGAACGCCTGTGATGGTCGATCACGAACTGAAAAGCTTTTGTTCAGGGTAGGAACATTCACGTCTCCGAAGTGAGACCATGTGAGACCGTGGCATAGGACATGAGCGGTATGCCTCGGTGAGCTTCAGTCGGCTCCGAGTTGCCCAGGCTGCGGAAGTCTGTGGCTTGCCCGACCTGTGGGACCCGAGCCCAGCGTGACGCTGATGCCGCCGGCTGCCCAATGGTGACCTGCCCCGTCTGCGGGAGACGGGCCATTAGAGTCTTTTGCGAAAGAGCCCGTTCAACCGTTTAACTTCGAGTCCATCTGCTGTGCAGGACCCAGTTCCACTGCCACACCGTGGAAGGAGATCGGCCAGAGGTGAGCTCTTCGGAAGAATTCATTTCCAAGGTGCAGCTGTCTTGTCGAGAAGCGCTTTTTGTTCGCAGTTTCTGGTTGACGAGTCTGCAACAAAAGACCAGGTTACCCGCTAACTTCCAGCGCGAAGCTCTTTGGCTGCGAGCACTGTGATGAAGCACTTACTTCTTACGATCGGGTGCAAGACAGGTTGCCAAACATACCCGGCCACTAGCGGATAACTGCTAGGCTAGCCACTTGCAAGGTTCGGCTGAAGCCCTAGAAAAGGCGAGCTTGTGGATAGTGCAGACGTGAATGCACGAAACAAAAAATGAACATCAACATCGCACGGCTCAAAGCTCGCCGACTTCCGAGGCACAGTCTGTACCGCCTGTTGGGCACCACGCTGGAGGTCCAGCCGCCAGGGTTTTTGTCAGGGACGCAAAGCCCGCAGCTTTCACAGAGAGTGTCAACTGCAGAAACCATGTCACCATCGTCGCATGCAGGCAGCTGAAGAGCTGGACTTGGATCGTCGAGAGCTTGCCACCGTGCTCTCTCAAGAGATCCGCGACAAGAAACTATGAGCAGCCAAGGATGTCTGCAACAAGTGTTAATCAGTTGCCATCCATTACCGAGGATTTGTGGGCTGCACGACGTCTTTGGTGCGATCAGTCCTGGGACAGACAGCTCTTGGGCTTGAATCCTGCATGCAGCCCCGCATGCCCTGACCTGCTGCTTCGGGGCTCACGACTGGCTCTCTTTGTCAGGCTTTACGCAGTCAGACCTCCGGCGCTGCTTTGCTGTCCAGGGCTTGCCCCTGCCGCCTGCAGAACAGTGGGACCTTCTGCAGGAGACTCAGTGCAGGGAGCTGTCTCAGGCTGCACAGGCACAAGCCCGCCAGCTCAGGTGGCATCGCTACTGTTCTCCCAATGCTATCGGCGTGAATTACTTGGACTTCAAGAGTCAGCTGCAGCCCATGTTTTGAGGAGCCCCCGGCAAATCAACTTTTCACTTCAGCAACGCGCTTGCCTGTTCTGTGGTGGGTTCATGTGGGCTGCCTGCTTGTCAAGGACACGGCGCGAGGTAGCTACGGAACTGAGCCTTTCCTTTCTATTCTCACAAGAGGCCACATGTGTGATAATGCAATGCAGTGCCATTATCAGCAATTGTGAGGTGTTCGGTATCATCCAGAGGATTAGAGGGCCCATGCACGAAGCGAACAGCACATGTGAGGATCGTCAGCCCAGGATGCGACGTCTGCCGCGCCCACTATGTAATCATTTTGCCCATTGTTACGGCTGTGCTACTTGAATTGCGGCCGAGTGCGATGAGTGACGGGGCCAAGGGAGTGCCTTGCTGCACACCTCGTGGATGTTTTGTCCAGAGCCCTGAGCTCGTTGCCTCAGCCACACTGGCTGCTTGAAGCCAGGGCAGCTTCAAAGCTAAGACTCGAGCTGTCGCTTGTTGTGTTCTCATGAGACCTTGTTCAGATTTACGATGTGGTTCGTAACAACGCCAAGAAGCAGGCAGCTCATTGTGCAAGGAGATGGCTAAGCCACTCCGTGACAGGACTCTGTGTGCCGCGAATGCCGCTTAGTACCAGAAGAACTTTCACGAGTTTTAATTGGCACAGCATGAGATCCAGGCGTCCAGGCGCAACAGAAACTCCTCGACCTACAGATGTACTCCCTAAGACCAAGGTATGCGAGAGACTGCGTGAGATGAAATGAACGTTGGCACCACGCTTCTCGCACGACTTGAGCTTGTAACTTGTGACACGGATCTTCACAAGCGCAGGTTTCGTTGGCTTCTTCAGCGGCTTCTCCGTTGCAAGATTTCGAAAAGCTAGGCATGAGAGGTGGCCGTTGTTGCTCCAGCACCTCGCCATGAACAACCTCAGGCTTCCAAGGCCGCTGTCCAGCCTTAAATTGGCGGCCCCTGATGGCCTGCGACTGCTTGACTCCTTCATCTCACCCTCAGAGCAAGAGGTGATAGCAACAGAGGTGGCGGACATTTTCGCCTCTGCACGGAAGATTTCCCATGCAGCTCAGGCAGAGAGGGCCCACATTCCACAGCCTGCCAGCGTCAAATCTCTTGCACACAACCTTTCAAGCGACGAATACTATGTCCCGTTGAAGATGGAACTTGAGCCAGGCTCAGCATCGGGCAGTGCCTATTTCCCAAAGTATGGAGATGAAGGGCACGAGCTGATGTACTTTTCCAGGGGCACGGTGCAATCATTACCGCCGTTTGCGAAAGATTTCATCTACACCAAGATCCCAGCTCTCAGCCCCTTGGTTTCAGTGGACGGCAAGTGGCGGCTTACTTTGAACCGCTACACGCCGCAAGGCGATCAGCAGGAGATAGCTTCATCTCCGGCGACGCGACCCGGTTTTCCATATCACAAGGACCTGCCGGCAAACGGTGACGTCACGATGATCTTAACCCTCCAAGCAAGAGGCGACCTGGAGCTAGTTCCAGAAACAGATCCGCACAGGTCGCCCAGCCAGGTCCTCCTGCATCCAGGCTCACTGCTCGTTTTATCAGGCGAGGCGAGATGGAGATGGCTTCACCGGCTGCGGCCTGTCCCGGATGAGAAGCAGAGGATGTCTGTCGTGTTTGGATGGAGGGGTCCACAAGCCGTACACGGCTGATCTCAAACGGGTCTCTTGCACGCACCGCAACCGAAGCTGGACATAGAATTAAGATCTGAGTTTTATCCGTGACGAGCAAGGGAGTCGTATCCAGTTCTTGCAGGCCTCAGCTCGCCAGCTCCGATCGTCGTATCAGCTCTCCCCGAGCCCTGTTTTCGCCACCCTGGCTGACGTGCAGCGTGCCATGAGGTGGTGAAAAGCTAAGCGACGCAGCCCCCGTTCGAACTACTTGTCGGATCCCTAATATGATTTAAGGTATATTCCTGAACAAAGGAAGAGTAGCACAGTAAGTCGGGATGACAGTCCGTGGGGGTTCTGCTGCCTTCGCCGATCACAAGAGCTTGGGCCCGAGCATCGCCAGCGATCTCTTTCAGCCTCGGGTGTGCTATGTGACCATGTAGTGACGAGACCTGAAAGAGTTGCAGCTGTGTGGCGAACCGTTTTTTTTGTTCAAGAGTCCTAGAGGTCCTAGAGTGCGTCTTGCATGGCCACTGCGGGCAATGAGAAGCCGGTCGTGGGCAGAGTCACTGCGGTGAAAGGTGGCCAGGCCGCAGCCGACTGCATCACAGTCGATAGGACACATCATGATCATGGCCGCTGTGATGACGGAGGCACTGAAAGAACTTGACCTGTCTCGTTGGCATTTGGATGTAAGACATGAACACATGTGGGACTATCCGTGACTATCCTTTCCTATATGGGAGTTTCCGAAAATTCGGGGTACCTTGCTTTGGGATCCTGATAATAACGATGCTACTATTTAGGGGGTTCCCTATTTTCGGAAACTTCCGCATTGATCTTGTTTAGGACGCAAGCGAGAAAGTGCCAGAGGGGGGGCGATTTCACAAACTCCAGCAGAGGAACCAGGATGATGGACAACATCAGAGTATTTGTTGTGATAGAAACAAATATAGATAGTATAACCTGATATGGTAGACAGTGATGCAACATGGTATAGTATAGTATAAAACACTATAGCACATCATAAGCAATGTGCACAGTACAACATCATGCAATATGAACTAACTAGTATTCTACAGGGCAGTATAAAACATTATATGTAAGAAAGTACCACACGACATAATATAACATGTACAACATGACATAACATGAGAAACCATAATATGCAACAGTAATACTTACAGTACTCAGTTCATTATCGTCTAGTCGAATGTCGCGTTATATGGTACAACATTGCACAAGACAAAGCATCCTCATGACGACCAGCTGGCATGTTGCTGACACAGGCTCACGGTTGCAAAGCATGTGTCGCGCACATGGGCTAGCAAAAGAAGCACCAGCCTTCAATGATATGACCCTCGCAAGATTTCAGACTGCAAGTCGATCTGAAGCTCATGACAGGGGCGCAACAGTGCGATTTGTGCGGCATTGTAGGGCCTTCGTGAATTGAACGTTAAGAGCTCCGCTTTCTGCGGCTGCGCTTGTTCTCGTTCATGTGACCAAGATCACTACGGCTTCATTCGGGTGGAAGACCGAAGGACGGTGTTTTGGCAGCATCTCCCGTGCTCACGGCATGCGCAAAGTAGGTCAGTCGTCTGACTCGCGATTGCACATTGCCATATGCTGTCTTGCGTAGTCTTAAGAGTCTCGGTCCTGGTAACCACAGTGAAGGATAATGTGAATCATTTTGGTGAAAAATTGCAGGCAAAAGCAACATTGTAGAGGTATGCAGAAACAGAGCGATGATATGAATGGGGTCGGGGTGAGACATACCAAAGCGTGCGCCCGTAAACACACCGAGAGTCTACATCCGTTGTTTTTTTTGCTTTTTTCCTAAGAGGAAAAAGCAACACGAATAGAAAACAAAAGCAACCACAGGAAACACCTCTCCAGACCACGCTTCAGCAAAACAACGACGACCCTTCCAGTCCTCCAAGCCAAGGACATTCACTTCTTCTTGGATCGCATAACCAAGCATGGTGGCCTGGGGGTCAAAGCTGGTGATAGTGTCCGGTGCTGGATCAAGGACGGACGAGGTGGAAAAGAGACGGCCGCGGTGGCTGCCAGCCTACATTAGCTCTTGGGAAGTGACGCGGTGGCCGTCTTTGCTAACCGGCCTGAGCTTTTGCAAGTGTGTCCGAGGTAGAAGTCACCCGCTTTTCGACAAAGACTGACAGAAAGTTGGAAGCATTGAGGCGAATGCAGAAATGGAGGCCAGGCTTTTCGCATATCCGCGAGATGTATGTTCGGAACATTTCGGAAGACCCCGGGCATCTTTCGTAGGCCGGCCAGGCTGCCAATCTGTTGCTGACTCACGCGATGTCATTTGAAAAAGTCCTTCTTGATCCTTGATGTGATGCACAGGCTATTGCTGTCTAGCCCGGAGCACAACAACGAGGAGCTGCAGACGGCTAAATTCGAGGCCACCGGACCTGTCGCTCTGCAGGGTTGCCTCTCTCTCTCTCTCTCTCCGCATCTGCTCTGCCTTGCACGAAGTTTCGAAGAAATCTTGTAACTTTGTGACAGACTCAGTGGCCAGTGGTTGGAGTGAAGAAGCATACACCGACACCAAGAAGAACTGTAATGAGCTCTTCAGTCTTAAGGTAGAAGCAAGGTGGTTTGGTATGGTTTGGTCATCGACGTCTGCACACATTGGCTGCGGATTCGTTCTACAGTCCTACGGCTTGTTTGGGGGCATCTGCAATTCGCTGACAGCAGCCAATGAATGTCGAAAAATGAGTGCGTAGCAAATCCGGCTTGCCGAACACCCTCCGTACCTTCTTTGCACAAACTTATAATTGACGTTGCTCTCTGGCACAGCACAGAATGCTTCCCTTGGTCAGGCCGAATCCTGCTTGGCCGCCTGGCGTGCTGTCTCGGAGCCTTAGACTCTGCTAGTGATGATGAAAATACTGAACCACAGCGATCTTCAGCCTTGCTTCTGGTATTCTTGGCGGTGCTGTTGCACAGTAGTACAGTAGCTACTGCCATACATGCCATGGCCATGGCTAGCGGAGCAGGAGTCATGCGACCAAATCATAAATCTCAGGACCTCGTGGGAAGCGCCATGGATCCGCAGTGGTCAGCTCTTGCAGACGTACCTGCGAACGGGATTGATCTCCCCTCTGGTGCTGGCCCTGAGAGCCAGATCGCGAAAGAGCCTCGTGATGCGGAAACCTCACCCGAGCTGCCCAAGCACAAGCGAGCATTTTGCGCCGAACGTGTCTATGCGGAGCAAGTCATGCAAGAACACATTGACTTGCGCGCAAGACCGCCTCCCTGCATTGAGCAGCGGCCCGTGAAGACGGTCGCCTTTACTCATGGTAGGGTAAGCCCAGAGTTCAAAAATGGATTGAGCTTGACAAAGCTCTTGGGTGATCTGAGGCGGGGTAGAGTGAACCCGGCAGTCGACTCCAGACTGCAGCTTGATGTGTGTCAACTCCGTGGCAAGATGCGATCACTGAACAATCGGCGATTGTGGGTGTTGAAGGAGTTCCAGCGAGAACAGGATGAGAAAGGCTTCGAAGTATGCGTTTCCGTGAATGCGCATCCACTCTGCAGGGGTACAGCCAAGTTCATCCAGGACCTCTGTCAGGGGCGTCCTCGTTCGACAAGTCCATCAGCTGTACATCCAGAGGCAAGCGAGGCACGTGCGACGTTGCACGACATTATTATGGAAAGGGAAGGGGCCAAGGACTGGGCGCTCCTGGAGTTCGCAGAGATCCAAAGCCAAGTGCCAGTTAGCGACCTGACCTGTGTCGGAGCGGCCCCACAGCCTGAAGCTAAGCGCCGTCGCATCAGCCACGCTGTGCCGACCGCTGCGGGCTTGAAGCAAGACAATGCCGATGTCCGTGATTGCTTCTCGGGCTCCGTCGTCGATGTTGTCAAGTTTGGATCTAAGCTGCATGTCGCGGATCGAGAAGTCTTCAACACCTTGGAAGGATTTCAATTTCGCCGTGTGGAGACGGTGCGCGTGGTTCCCCTGTGCCCCTGGACGGCGAAGCTGGTCCTGGCAAACAGCAGCCGGAACGATGGGAAGAGCGTTGAAGTCCGCGGAACCATTGCCCAGGACGGCGAATGGACGCTGGGACGCATCGTCGAGCTCTTGCTAGAATTGGCTAACCACCTCTGGCAGTCTCCCCAAGCTCCGAGAATTTTTCAGATTCTTGCAGCTTCGCGCTTGCTTGGTGAGCGGTGCGGCCTGATATCTGCGATGCGTTCGCCAGAACGACCACTGCAAGCATCGCAAAGCATCTGGCCGTTCTTGCAGCATTTGATGAAGGTGCAGCCTTACAGCTTTCAAAAAGCAGTACCTGCATGCAGATACTTGTGCCGAATGTCAGCAGGAGCACAAGATTCTACGAATGTCTCGGGTACAGAGCAGCTCTTGCATCTCGTATCCTCGGCTTCCAATGTGCTTGCTTCGGGACAGGCTGACGTGACTGATGCATCCTGGGACTGCATGCCTCTGGTCCCCTCTTCGAAGGAATTGCGGACTCAGAAGACGAACATTCTGCCCGACGGCCGCAGGAGGAACACAACATCGCGAACGCTGCCTGTCGTGAGGCAAGTCGGAGGCTACAAGTCCCTTGGCGCTTACTTGGACACATACTTCCGCCTTCTTCGCGAGGTGGGGGGGCACAGTCGGAGCGTCGTTCTGCTTGCGATGACGATGGTTGTCACGTATCTACTTGGTACTGTTGTTATTCTTGGCAAATGCTCTGCCCACCTATCGCACGTGCATGCGAGCTGTTGTCTCTTACGATGCGCTCTGTGACTGTGCACCTACCGACCTAGTTACCTACATGTCGCCCGGAAATATCCGAGTGTGAGGGTGTAGCATCAGTATGTGGCTCGTAGAAATTTACTGCGCGTCTGATCGCAGGATTGCACGGCGGCCATCCGCAACTCGCTTGCAGATGTGCGCGACCACGGGAAGGAGGCGGACGCGGTTAAGAAGGACAGCAATGCTTTCCGAGCTACCCTCGAAGGCTTTACTGTGGGGCACGGCCAGGAAGGCACGCTTGGCCAAAGTGACACATTCAAACAGCAGCAGGGCATACGGAAGGGAGTACGTATGACGAGCATATATCACGACGGAACCGAGATTTTCAGTGGCCGGTCGTCTCGGATACTGGTACAGTACCGGCGCCATCCCATGCTGCAGCATTACTTCAGTTTGCATAGTGTTCACTGTTTGTAGCTTCCAACGCTTGGGGTCTCCTTGCCGTGCCAGTATGTTTTTGGTTGGACTTCGGCAGTCCGTATGTCCTTAACCCCGTAGTATTCTGAAGCACTTAAGTGCCTGCCGGATCCCCAATCAGGCTCAGGCATGTCGTGCTCAAATCGCATAGTTGGACACAACTGTCACCCAGTTCCCCTGGCTTTGCCCGAAGGTGGGGTCGACAGCCGAATCAAGGTGGTCCTCAAAATTGAGCCCATGCTTTCACGAGCACGATGGGAGCTTCGAGCAGCCAAGTGCTTCATGAACGGCAATCTGGTTGCATGTGTTTGCAATGAAGATTTCGATCATCCAATTTGGATGCTGGCCGCTCGCCGCGAGCTGAAACGATCGAACGGCATAGTGGCACTCGACTTCTATGTGGATGCCAGAAGCTCGTCACAAGCGTCCATGGAAGCCAGCCAGGTGGCATCTGTATGGAAAGCAACAAAGCTGACCTTGATAGCGTCTCCAACGTATTTCCGATCGTTTGAGCCGATCCTCCGCCGACTGCAGGCCACAGAGGAGGTGGGCTTGCCTTTCCAGGAGGAGTTGGTGCATTGCAAGACAGCAGAAAAACGACCATTGAGCCTATGTGCTGCAGACGCCGTCGACAGGAGCCTCGTGTTTTCAGGCCCGGAGCTGCAATCGGATGTCTCCTACCAGCTTGTGGGCATCACTGCTCTGACCGAGATGCGTGCATGGGCACTGGGCAAACAGACCACAATTTATTGCCCTTCTGGCCGGTGTCTCTTCGATATCAGCTGGAACGATCCGTTCAAGAAGTTTCGCATTCGGAACCGCGCTGGTCACCAGATTCTGATTGTTTCCGGTGGGCAGACTGGACATGCAGCATCTTCCGACTTGGCCACCGGAAGCGGTGCCTTGGCAAGATGGCTAAGCGGCTGGACTCACCGGACGAAAGAACCATGAGAGCCAGAGCCCTCTAAGCCTGGGAGCACTGCCAGGAGATGAAGCCGGGGATGAGGCTTCCGCGGTTGCCAACGTGATCCAAAGCGGGGCTGAAGCACACGTGCCAGTCTGCTGTGATGTGGTCTGCGGCTTACGGGGCGGAAGTCAGTCAGCTAGCCTAGCCCGGATTCTGCCTGCCCCGCTTCTCATCCTGAAGCCTGAGCGCCTTGCAGAATCTTGCTCAGCTGGTAGCTTTTGTGTGGAACTGCTGCTCGCGGATCCCAGCAAAGAGATGCCCAGCTCTTCGGGAACGATGGCCGGATGAGCTCTACTGAAATACTGTACCCAGAAATAGCCAGAAGATTTGATTCGGGCCGAAGTTGTAGGCATGATTCAAGTCTTGGAGGACATCAACGCTCATTCAACGTTGCGTTTGGCGCAACCGCCGTCCGCAATCGGCCCATACCCCAATCCCGAAGCGATCCGATCCGGAAGCAGCAAACACATCGCAGTATGATCTCCACGACATGTCTGCGCATGCTCATGTCTTTCCTGCTTGTGTTCCCGAGCCACTCATGTCGTGTCTGCCAGAAACGGATCCGTGCCACCAGGTCATCCAGACCGAGCCATCGAAGGAGCTTCGATATCGAATCCTTCCACGCCGTGTCCCTCTCAGTTTCTCCAGCTACCAGTAGTAGTGGTAGTGTGAGGTTTTGTTGTGGGGAAGCGAGAAGCGCCTACCGGAGCTGCTGTGAGATGTAAGAACTCACGGCCCGCCAACAGAATGGTGGGAGCGTGGAGCGGGCAGGGAATTACAATCTCAAGGTGCCATTCGAGTAAAGTTGCAAGGAACTGCTGTGATGGGTTTGTGATGGCAGGCGGCACCGTTCACCAACTTTGTATGGATTTGGAAGCTGCCATTGAACGTGCATGCGAGCCGTCCTCGATGAACGATTCAGTGACTACTTGGGACAAAAGCCGCGTGGCCTTTCAGCAATGTCTCTGCTGCATTTAGTAGCTAATAGGGTCTATGGAGCGTCTAGGGTCTATGGTGTGGAGTACCTGGTACTTCGCTGGGGGGTTGGGCCCATGCTGTTGCATAGAAATGCCAATGAGGCCAGCTGCAGGCGGCACACCATGCCCTGCACTGCCGCGTATCCCTCATCCAAGGCCCACCAGGCCCTTGGAGGGCTCTGAGTTGGCAGCCGGAGGCAGATACATCATAACGTCATACAGTCGACAGTAGAACGGGAAGGGTTTGCTTCGACATGTGCCAAAACCAGCTGCCGAGCTTCATGTGCTGCAAGACGCTCTACAGGTACAGGAAAGACCTTCATTGGGTACAAGCTGTTACAGATGCTGGTGAAGAAATCTCGAGTCCTCGTGTTGACGTACAAGAACCATGCACTGGACGACTTCTTGCAACATTGCGTGGAGGGGCAGTACACCAAAACGATGGCCCGGGTTGGCCGGAACAGCGCGGACTCTGCGGAGTTGCAGGCATGCAATCTGAAAAGCCTCAGGAAGAAGAAGCTCGCAAAGACTGTTGACCAGGACGGCTTCCGAGGGGTAGTAGCTTAGTAGCAGTGGCAGCTTCTCCCCCGCATGAGGGTCACAAGGTGCCGGCACTTAACACTGGTCCAGGCGCAGCAGGACCCTTCCATGAAGGAACTGCGGACGCACATCTTTCAGTCAAAGGCCGGCCAGTTGCGTAGTGATTCGAGCACCCGCGATGCTCAAGACTTTCCTGAACTGTTGCTCGCCCATGTCGAGCTGCGTTTGCTGCAAGAACGCATGACCTCTCCTGGGGCCAGCGTTCCAGAGACACTTCCTGCCCATCAGGTTGATGTGAAGGGCAGGCAGAGCGAGTTGCTGAGCGATGCTCGGATCAAATGGCTACAAGAGGTCCACACCTGATCAAGCCTCAGCTGCAGGCAATGGAGAAGTTTCGGAACCGAGGAGTTCATTCCGTGTCTTGGATGGTGATAGTCGGGGTTTTGGCCGAGGATGTTCGAGGTGATCCCAGGACGCCGAAAGCAAGTGAACGCATGGAAAGGAATACTGTATGGTCGATATTCGAGGTTGATACTTTCCTCGGCAGCATCTGTGGTCATCAGCTCGTTCAGTTTTGCCGAGATTCCCCAAGAAGGGGCAGGAATGTTGACTGGCTACGGCGGACCTTGGAAAGCTATCGAAACTACCTCTGCAATTGGCCGGATGACTCTCAGCTCCCAGTCAGTCCAGCAGAACTCACCACATCTCAACTAGCAGCTAGCTGCTATGGCACATTGGATTCACAGCACCCTGTTCATTCTGAGGACCTTCCGCGAATGCTGCACTCTGAAGTCCAGCTCGATTCTCTCGATTGGCAAGAAGACCCTGGGGAGACTTCCCGTCTGCAACAGGACTGTCACTGGATGCGGTCCGCACTCGAGGAAGTGCTGGCAGCCCCTTGATTTGTGTGGGGCGTGCTTCTACAGTCCTTTACATATTTTTACATCGCCTTTTAGAGAACCGGGCTACACCTACTGCAGGCGTGCCCAGGTCTTTTGCGACTTCTGCTATAGATGCTAAAATGCCCCTCAGACAAGGACTGGTGTCCTGATCAGGGCATGGTCACGGAAGCTGCAAGCATGCTCTTCAGCGAAGCCGGGGTGACGCTACCCGACGACTTAGACCAGGTGATGGGCGCACATGGCTATGAAATTGTTCAGGTGCAAACTGCCGAGGAGTGGGACACAGTTGTCCACGCCTTGAGCAGCAACTTTCAGCTGCAGCGTTCTATCCCCTTGCGCATGGATACTAGACTGGAAAAGGGCTGGGTTTTGCGCGAAATGATGGATCCAGCGACCGGAGGGATGCTGCCGGTGCAAACACCAGAGCATCTGCCAGTGAATCTTTGCTTCGAGGCCGATGATGAGGCTGAGCGAGAACTGCAGGCGGAAATCGAGGCAGAGCGCGGCAATGGGCCAAGCGATGGCGGGGAAGGTCTCAGCAAGGACGAGTGGCGGGCCATGGTTCTCCGACAGCCGTCCTTCCAGCAATGGCAGCGCCACATCCGCATGGAGCATCTTCCTAAGGAGGGAGCTGCGCAGATGGGAGCTGACCCCAGAGATCGTGCGATCTGGGATGTGCCAAACCTTTTCCAGCTTTCGAAATTGAATCGAGCACGCTTGGTGGCGCAGCACATCGCTCAGCAAGCCGCTACCCGTCGTCGAGATCTCGAAGTCGCTTTGACGACCCTAACGCAAGCATGCGAGGAAGAGGAGTCAACTGATGTTGCTATGAGCGAGAGCCTTACTTGTGCAGATGGCGCTATACGCTATAGGCTTCGTGGACTGTGCCCACACCGGTACTGTAACTGGGTAATTCCCCTTTGCGTTTGTCGTGTGTGTACGGCGCCTGGATGGTGTTGCCATCTTCGACTTACGGATCGTGCCGCTGAGGTGCGCGGGTCTTGAAGAACAAGAGACTCTTGTCTGCCGCATATGGCCTTGGGGCCGTCAACCGAAGACTTCAGGCTAGCTTGACAGCCCGTGAAGTTCACTAATATGCCGCAACATAGCTGCGCATTTGAAACCACGCTGCAGCGTCAAAGGAATCGTGGGTATGACGATAACCGGTGCCTCCATCAACTCCGCCCTCATTGCACAGCTCAAACCCGATGTGGTCCTCGTGGAGGAGGCTGCAGAAGCCAAGTCCTCAGGAGCTTCACCCACTTCTCACCGCGGCCGCGGCGGTACTGTGGTCATCTGCAGTCTGCGAAGTGCTTTTGAAATCCCTCGAAGGTCTTGGAGCCACAGATCCTCGCGGTGCTAGGTCCCTGGGTCAAGCATTTGATCATGATCGGAGACCACAGCGACTCAGCTTAGCGCCAGGTCGTGTCGCAGCCACTGTCGGATGGTGAGAGTCCCGAGTCCCTGCGTCAGTCTTTCCGCGCTTCCAGGACAGCTACCGCCTCCCGTGGAGACATACGCTCTAAGGCTGATGCTCGGCAAAGCTGCTGTCCTGTCTGCTGCGAATGCTCGCACATGCTCGCGCGGTTCCGTGCTTCTTGCTTTCGGGCAACATGCAACTGACTGCTTGCTGATCTGGCACAAGATACCCTTCGCACGTATTCTACTAAGGAACAACTTATTCGACGTGAGCATGATGGAGCGCCTTCTTGGAAACGGGCTGCCCAGCGTCGAGCTTCAAGCACAAGGGCGCATGCTGCCTGGACTCTCCAAGCTCTTGAAGTCGATCTACCCGCATTTGAAGGACAATACTAAGATCACTACCAAGCTTGCTGCTCCAGCCTGCGTGGCTTCAGAAGTTTTTTTCTGGCATTGTCCACATCCAGAAGAAGAGGGTGAGCGAAGTCACGTCAACAAGCGCGAGACGCCCGCCTGCACTGCGACAGTCAGCGAGTGAGCGGCATAGAAGCCTTTCCGTCTTTTGAATCGTTGAGATGTCGATCTGTGAAGTAAGCAGACATGAGGGTCTTTGTCGCACGCCATGAAATCAAAGCCCCGGCAGGTGTGACAGGGCTGTGCAACTGGCTCGTTTCTTCATTTCTCAGGGCTTCAAACCGAAGCAGATCACGATCCTGGCTCCATACCTGGGTCAGGCCGCTCACAGCAGTTACGACAATCAACTTTGTCTGTAAACACGGTGCTTGGAGCCAGCGTCGCTTGAGGTAGCGAAAAAAGTATTGAGACGTGTTGAGCTTACAATTGAGGACTAGGCGATGTCAGTATGTGGTTGTGTTGGAATTTGGAAGGAGGGGGGGAGGCAGACAACAGCCCAATTTTGGAGAGTCGTGCCACGTCCCATGCCTTGACCTGAACACATTCAGACATGGCGCAGGTGACTCTGATCAAAAACACCTTGCGAGAGGAAATTCCCAAGTTCTTGGCAGAGATGGGTCAAGAGCAGCACCTGAGCTCCTTCGCAGCTCGCATCGACCCAGTGCTTCTCAAACGTGGAAATCGCGTGGACATAACTTCTTCCACGGTCCGCCAACAGAGAGTTTACTCTGTGGACGGACAGCCGGCGCAACCAGGACGCAAGCGGCAAGGGAAATCGCGGACACCACCATTCTAGGGCGAAGTCAGCCAGCTGTTCTAATGCACAGTTCTGATTCTGAGATGTTGCAGGAAATTTACTGCTGAACGACCATCTTACCGCGAAGACTGTAAGTCTGGACAGTATTCTGTAAGTTCGCTTGTGCCACATGCCCGGCGGAGGATGCTACCGCGCGACCCTCACGGATACCCACCACGCATCTGCCAAGGACGATTTCGTTGAGGAGCCTCCCTTATGACGTCAGTAGCCGACAGGGGGAATTTGCACGCATGCACGTGCTTGGCGCTTTCATGCTTTCCTTGCAGAGGTGCAATTGGTGCCAGATGCTGTGCAGCCGGACCAGATGCCAGAGGTCAGTTCGATTGACAGGTCCAGGGTCGCCAAAAAATTGAGCATGTCATTCTGCGACCTGCCTGTCGATCGAAGGTACCAAGGAGCTGAGAACGACATCGTTATTGTGTCTCTGGTCAGATCCAACCAACAGAATAGATTGGGTTTCCTTGGCACCGATGATGGCAAGAACCGCATGTGCGTCGCACAATCCCGTGCCCGATGCGGCATGTACTTCATTGGAAACGAAGCTTGCCTGCGGACTTCAGTCCATTGGTGCGAATTCCTTGACAAGTTACAGGAGCGAGGGAGTGTGGGAAGCAAGTTCCCACAAAGATGTCCTCGTCACAGGCATGTGCACAATGATGCTCTGGAGGCAGAAGATGTGTGCACAACGCAATCTGCAGTTTGTGGAGTGCTCTGTGGCGCTCAGTTTGCCTGTGGCATTGAAGCGCACACTTGCAAGCGTCCATGCCATCCAGAAGAGGACGGGGACAGTCACAGTGCCTCGAAGTGCGACCACGTTAGCACACTGGTCTTCAACTGCTCGGAGTCGCCAAGTCACGAGTTTCAACTGCCATGTCGTGAACGTATGAAGCACAAGCTCTGCCCCTACAAAGAGCAACTGTCTTGTCGACGATTTGCTTCGCACAAGCTCACACGCAAATGTGGCCAACTGAAGGAGGATGTGTTACGTTCTTGTCAGAAACGGTGTGAATCGAAGCTTGGCTGTGGCCACCTTTGCCCCAAGAAGTGCTTCGAGCCTTGCATACAGGAGGCGGAGTGCCTAGAGAAGAAGCCCTTTGACTGTCCGAGTTTTCCTGAGAAGCACTCCAAGATACATCTTGCTTGCAATTCCACTCCAGAACAAGTGGCCAAGAACTGCAGCGCACGATGCAGCCGGAAGCTGCCTTGCGAACACTACTGCCCCAACAAATGCGGTGAGCCCTGCGCGACTACCTGCGACAAGCCATGCCAAAAGAAGCTTGGTTGTGGCCACCTTTGCCCCAAGAAGTGTTTCGAACCTTGCATACAGCAAGAGGAGTGCTTGGAGAAGAAAGACTTTGACTGTCCAAGTTTTCCTGAGAAGCACTCCAAGATACACCTCGCATGCAACTCCACTCCAGAACAGGTGGCTCTTAATTGCAGAGACCGATGCAGCAGGAAGCTGTCCTGCGAACACTACTGCCCTAACAGATGTGGTGACCCCTGCGTGACTAAATGCCACAGGGCATGCCGAAAGAAGCTTGGTTGTGGCCACCTTTGCCCCAGGAAGTGCTTCGAGCCTTGCATACAGGAGGCGGAGTGCCTGGAGAAGAAGCCCTTTGACTGTCCTAGTTTTCCTGAGAAGCACTCCAAGATACATCTCGCTTGCAATTCCACTACAGAACAAGTGGCCAAGAACTGCAGCGCACGATGCAGCCGGAAGCTGCCTTGCGAACACTACTGCCCCAACAAATGCGGTGAGCCCTGTGCGACTACCTGCCACAAGCCATGCCGAAAGAAGCTTGGATGTGGTCACTTTTGCACCAGGACGTGCTTCGAGCCCTGCATACAGGAAGCAGAGTGCTTGGAGAAGAAAGACTTTGACTGTCCGAGCTTTCCTGAGGAGCATTCCAAGATACAGCTCGCTTGCAATTCCACTCCAGAACAGGTGGCCGCCAGCTGCAGAGAACGATGCAGCCGGAAGCTGCCCTGCGGGCACGACTGCCCCAACACATGTGGTGAGGCCTGTGCGACCCTGTGCCTGCAGCGATGCAGCGCGCGTCTTGTCTGCGGCCACACCTGCTCGCGTCGGTGCGGAGAGGACTGTCGATAGAATGTTTGGTGTCATGCTGCCGTTGTTCCTGCTGCAAAAGCCCTGTAAAGAAGCATATTCAAGGGTCTTTTTGCTTCATTCGCCTCCTGCAAGCGAGAGAGACTGAATCTCTTATTGCACTGCTTGGCTTTCCAAGGACCTGGTAACATTTCGTGTCATAGGGCCGGCTGATCCAGTGCTTCTAGGTTTCTTAAACTTGGGATGTTTCCCCGGGACGTGCCTTGATTGTTTGCTGTACAAGGAAGCCATCGCAGCCTCGCTTAAGCGCTTGTCATCGTTGCCATGCAGACAAAATCCGCATGTTCTCGAAGGAGTGTAAATGCCAAGCGAAGTGCGAACGAGAGCTTCCTTGCGGCCATCTGTGCCAGAAACAATGTAGCCACTCGGCCCTAGGGAATGCCGTCAAGCTGTTTTGAAGTTTTCTTGTGGCTCGGGGACGCGCGTGTACCTTTCCAGGCGACTGCAGTGGTGCCCACGATGTCTCTAGCTGCGAGGAGCGTTGCAGTCGAAAGCTGTTCTGTCGGCAGCCGAGTAGTCGGCAGCAGATGGGCATAGTTGCTGTTGACTCAATTTGAATCGAGCTGTGCAGCTGCGAATGCAGTGTTGTGCACCCCTGCGTTCAAGGGATACCTCTTGTGCAGTCCTCAGCGCTCCCACCTGAGGTGGCCATTTCTGCGGACGTCTCTGCTACGAGCCCTGTGGGCAAGTTTGCCTCGGTTGCGACGCTGGCACGCACAACTTGTTCTGCCATTGCATGCCTTTGATTGGCAAAAGTCGGCAGAAGGCAAAAACGTGGATCCGAGCGAACATGCTACTGACAAACCTCAAAGGATCTCACGGAGCCGATAGGCAAGTTCCGTATAGTATTACACGAATCTATGATATTGAGGCTATGTTGGCTGGACAGTGCGACGGCGAGCTACAAAATAAGCTGTGAGCCGGAGAACTCGGTGACGGATTGCCCTACTCCAGGCTGATCAGGGCTTATCAGAAGCATCACAGACTAAGCCATCAGTTACCAGGCCCGCACAAGTCCCCCCAAGCTAGGACCCCATTTGCAAGCTTCATTAGGACACCTTTCACATTGATGTATCTAAGGTCTCTCGTGAGCAGCCGCCTGCCGAGGCTCAGGGCAAGAATTTCCGCTTGTGTTGCCGGAGTTGACTCGGGATTTGCACGTGTCTTCCGTTGCAGCTCGGGATAGTAGAGGGCTCACTCCATGCAGTGCCACACTCCAGGATTTATGCCTGGCCATAAGGCATAGGGCTTAGGATGAACCGTGCGCTTGGGGTCATGGAGACAGAGTTCACCCGTCGCAGGAAATTCGGACGTAAACTTCGGGGGCCTGAAGCTCTCTGAACTGACACAGTGGTGTTCGCGTGACTGGAAAGTGGTCCCTCGTCCGACCTAGCAGCCTCGCAAGAAGCGTAGCAAGTCAAAAACTCGCAACAGCTCCCAGAAAATCCTCGACAGACCAACGGCCTAGAGCGCTGAGTTGGGTATGGAATTTGCAAAGCTCGGAGGGCGCCCAGATTTTCGTGCAGCTTCCCAGCCGAAGTCAGTGAAACAGGCTTTCCGTGGAGTCATCCAGAAGGCTTTCGCAGCGAGCCTCAAAGACGTGCCCACTGCGCCCTGGCCAGGTGTGACGGCACAGTCGTTCGAACGGTGTTGCTCATGTCATTTGGGTTGTTCTTCTGCATCTGATTTATCGAGGCTCACCTTGAGACTGTTCTGTATACTATCTTGCAATGACAGCTGCCGGGTGCATGTGTCGACGACAATTTCACAAGCGAGGGTCACTTCCAAGATGTGAGAGTAGACATCCCACTGCATCGTAAAGCTGCATCCAGGGACAAGGCTTAGAGCCCATGGAGCAAAAGAGCACCGAGGAAGCCTAAAATCAAGAAGATGCATCGCTCGCACTACCCTTTGATCGTGATCCCATGCAAATTGATTAGTCTTCGTGGTCCTTTCCCGTTCTCCTTGGGAAAACAGGCTTTTGGAACCGTGCATGTCTGATCTTGTAAACCTCAATACGGCACAATGCACTTGAGGAGGAGTAGAAGCAACAGGGTTAGAAATGGTTGCAACTTGGCAAGGATGAGTTCCTCGAAGGGACCTTGATCCACGGTCCTTTTGCAATCTGCCCAAATTTCAGTACACGCCACGGGCTCCTCTGACACTTGAGGCAAGCCTTCTGGGATCTGGGGGGCCGAAGGCGCGAAGGGCTCCCAAGCTGCTTAGACGCCTCCGAGGCAAAGCCGCCAACAAAGGCGAGGCCAGCGACGAAGCCTATGCCGAGACCTGCCGGAACGGGCGATCAAGCACAGGACTCAGGTTTTCCACGATTTTTCCAATCCTGCTGACAGCTTGCACATCTGACAAGGCTTGAGGTTTTTGTTGAGGACAATCTCCAACTCTCTCAACCCCAAGTGTGTGTGCGTTCTGCCGCTTTGAGTCTTGCTGCCGTTGCAACTCTGCGGCACAAAAGCAACAGGCAGCATTTAGACGTTGATGGATGCCAACTGCTGCATCATCATCATCATCATCATCCTTCAAGTCTGGGGGGGGAGGCGTTTGAATGCCCGCCTAGGCGAGACCACCACCAAAAGCAAGACCAACCGCAGCAAAGTCCATGCCGCAGCAGCCGAGAGCAAGAACAGATGAGGATGATGTGATTGTTCTCTCGAGCTCCTCAGTGCTTTGGCGGCAGATGCTTCGTGTGCCGCCGAGAGCTGATCTGTAACAATCCTTTCGAGTTTGGACCTTGATTGGGAGCTCATTTCCTGAGAGGCCCGAGGCGGGGGCTCCGATGCGAGTCGGCAGAGTGGAGGCGACTACTGGGTAGGCTGCATTTGAGAGCACATTCTGTGTAGCTCCAAATGGTCCAAATTGTTCTGCCTACTTGACGACCCGGAGGTGGCAAGGGACACAGCGGAAGGCGAATTGAGGTGCGCCCCGAGCTCAAGCGCAAGCATCCTTCCTAAACCGTTTTTGTTGCAACGTCTCATGACGTTCCAATTTGAAGATCAGCCGACGTCGGATGGAAGATGCCGGCTGTCCTAGCTTTCTGGGAACACCTGAGCTCGGTGCCTCTCCCCTGTGTAGGCTCCGAGGTAGCACGTCACCTTTGCCAGAGCGCACAACATGTGTACAGATGTGCTTTGTCTATGTGTGAGGCGAGCAGCAGGTATCGCAGGAGTCAAAACGCAAGTTTTCAGATGCATTCGCAATTTCAAGCATTTACCCTTTCCGGTTCAATCGAATCCCTTAGCAGGCACGCGGATGTTTATTTCGCTTCCTACAGAATGCACAAGGTTGCAGAGCGGCTCAGAGGGTCAGGGAGGGCTGGAGGGTTGGTGCAGTAAATAGAGCGCTGGAATGGGTTGCTGGCCAGGAGGGCTGCAGGGTTGGAGTGTTGGGCGTCTCTTGGAGTTTGGAGATTATAGACTATTTATTGACTAGTGAGATGGAATGGCGAGAGCCTTGGTCTGGCTAGGCTCGAGCCCCGCGCCTGTCATTTGCCCCATACAGGCAATTTTGGTCTGAAAAGGGCGGGGTTTTGGGGTTGGAGCAGTAGTATGCACAGGACTGGAGGGCTGGAGTTTTGGTTAATGGTAGGAGCCTGGAGATTGTCGATGATGGACTTTAGTTTTATTCTTCTCGGAGAATATTGATCTTAGAAGATATGGCTTGGGGAGGGTTCCGAAGGATTGATAAGGTCCGAAAGAGTGGGTAGGATCAGAATTGGAGTGTTGGATTTGATTGTTAAAATCTGGAAATATAGGTTATGGTTAGGCTAATGAGATGGGACGGATTAGAATCTTGGTTTATTTGATCATGGCTATAAATTATGGATTCGTTACCCCGGACTTGTGTTTTCGTCGAAGAGGATTTGATTAGGGTCGAAAGTTCGATAAAATGAATAAACAGAGGACCGTTCTTAAAATATAATTAGGTTTAAATTTCTACTTGTTTTAAATGATA